GCATTCGAAACGTCGGGAAACAAAAATGCAAATAAATCCGCGACAAAATCCGAAAAGATGGTTTTATTTAAAATAGAATAATTGATTTATTACAATCAGACAATCTCAAGCTTATATCATAACTAGCAACTCATTCTCGCTTCACTCAGTTTCGTCCCTAGTAGAAAATAGAAACAAATCTATCCCATAGGAACCGTACATTTTTCGTACATAAAAAGTAACAAGATGTGCTATTCTAGACCATAAACTATCTCTATGCCAAATTTCATCCAGATCCGTTTAGCCGTTCTGGCGTGATTGAGTAACATGCATCCAAACTTTTGCATTTATAGTACTCGTAAGTATTAGCGAGTCACCCTCGCTTTGCTTCAGGCTCGTCCCTAGACAATTTGTTTGTTTGTTGACAATTTGTTTTATTTCAATCGGTTCATAAATAAAAAAGTTATTTCATTTTAAAGAATCATGTGAAACATTTATAGGAAAAAAATCCATATTTTAATATTATAAATGTGATATCCTTCTTTCACGTCAAAACAGAGTGATGGATTGGCGTGATTTTTTATGGCGATATAGTTGGAGGGCTTGAGAGTGCCATAGGCTACTTTTTATCGAGGGAGCTTATCTCATACTTCCTATGTATATCATACCTATGTATATATATCTATAGTCTATTTATTTCATACTGTTAAACCGTACCTACCTAGTATTCTAATATAAATATAATCTATGCACCTACTATGTTTCTTTACTACAATACAAAGTTTCTATTTTCTAATACCACATTCGTTTTAATAAGAACATTTGTAGGTTATCTTCAAGCTGTGTACCTACTGTTAAAGACAATATGCCTGGGCGTAGGGTGGTATTTATATGCAGATCACTTTACCATGCTAATGTTCTATAGGCACGAACCCTTAGTTTCTATTTATATGTAAGTTGTACCTTACTGTACATAAGGTCTTTTCATACGCGGCATTTTCATTTTTACGTCACATAGTACGGTATACACTTCATTTAAAATAATACTTCCTACGACTTGCCCCGTGTATGTAATTCTATTTAGTCCACCACTAAATGTTATAAAAACTTCCGCCTTATAAAGGGGGCCCTTCTCGCTTTTGTAAGGTTGTAATTATTCGCGATGTTTAAAAACTGTAAAAAAATTTGATAAACGGGAAAAGCAGGATATAAAATAGCGAATTGTCGAGTAGCATATTTATGAATGACCACAAATAACTTTCATTAAAACCAACCACCTAAACTCGATTGGCGTGCGATTTAATAGCGTAACCTGGTAGCCAATAATCAGCATTATATTATTTTAGATAATACAGGAGGCAATATTCTTCACTATCAGCTAGAGATCCCAAGTAATTATCCCGTCTATCGTACAATTTTATACATAATTATTAATAGATCAATGCGGACGGTTGCTACATTCAACAGTAGCAGCACTTTAGCCCTTAGATCTATCTTTAGGATCACACATAATATATATTTAAGAAAATTGAAAAGAAAGTTTCATGTATTTTATCACATAAAAACAAATGGATATTAAAGACAATGTAAAAAAATGCAGTTCCGCTTTCCCACTATCTCAACTTGGAAAGTACTTCAATTTAAATTCAATAGAATTCTGTAAACACTTACTGTTGCAGTGTCGAGCTTTACTCATACTTATCCCACCAACGTTCCATAATGGACTGAACACTGATTCTGACGAGGCCGAATCGCATTTGGCCATTATTGGCCATGTTTCGTCTCTATTATTTAAATATTTGAACTTAAGATAAAATTTTAATAGTGGATAAATATTATAATAAATAAATAATACTTCTTCTTCTTCTTCTCCCTGCCCATTTCCCAAATCACTTGGGGTCGGCGCAGTACATCTTCAGTGTACTGCTGATAGGATTTGGCAAAAGTTTTACGACCGGCCGCCTGCCTGACGTCAACCCTCCTTGGGAATGCTATTGTCTTTCTTTGTCTGAATGGTGTTAAATATTATGCACTTTCGATTTTGTTGTGTTTTAAAACATTTTTATACTATTAATTCAATTATTAATGTTATTTTTGGGTATATTTTAAAATAAATTTCGATTACACAATAAATTTTGTATTGACGTTGTCAAATTTTTTGAACAGAAAATAAAATAAATAATACTATATAATTAAATCAATCAACAATTAAATCCAATAAAAAATATTGAAATATAGCACATATATACATATATATCAATATGTATACATATGTGCTATATTTGGTATTGGCCCAACAACTATCTCAATACTAAATAAGCGATTTGAGATTGGTATTTCTATAATAATCAAAAAAGTTAATATTAATAATGTTTCATAAATTTAACTATGTTTTCCGTTATTGTTCTATCACATATTTATAGAGCATCAATGGTGACTAAAATTGACCGTTCTCTGTTCACTGAATATAATATTGTTTTCCCTATCAAAAGCCCGTCCGTAGCCATCTTCCAAGGAAAGTATTTTTATTTTTTATTTTTTTATTTTATTTATTATTAGGGAAACATACAGTGTTACAACACAAACAACATATAACAATAAAAATAGTACATACACCAATAAAGTTTCCACAAACAAACGATACATACAGTAAAAGAGTAGAGATTTGACAAAACGACAACACTAGAATTATGTTAGCAGAACATGCATTAATATAAGATATGAAGTTAAATTATAAATCTTTTAGGAGAAGTACATTCCTAATTTTCCTTTTGAAATTTTCTACAGTACAATTCATTAAATCAATGTCGTTAAAGTGAACATTATAATCACGACAGGACCTATATATAAATTCATTTTGAGCGAATTTCGTTCTGGTGACAGAAATGCAAAACAAATCTCTTCGACGAGTGTTGCAGCTGGGACATCTGAATTGTATATTACTTAAAAGATAAGGGGAGTCAACAAAATTATTAATTATTTTATATAAAAACATTTGGTCTTTAAATAAACGACGCTTGCAAGAGAAGATACAGCAGGGCAGCTTTGATGTAGAGAGAGGCACCTAAAGTTCAAATGTTTAATAAATTTAAACTGGACCCTCACGATTTCCTCAATGTAAGTTTTACGGTTGGGGTTCCATATTATTGATCCATATTCCAAAATCGAACGAACCAAGGTATTATACAGTAAAAGCATTGTAGAAATATTCCTAAAGACTTTACTCACTCTAAGTATGAAACCCAGCATTTTAAACGCTTTAGAAGTCATTTGATTTATGTGGTATTTAAACAACAATTTGCTATCTAGAATTATACCCAGATCACGCACTTCAGTAACTCGCGTTAATACTTCACAACCAAGTGTATATGGGAAATCTAAGATAGAAAGCTTCCTAGAGAGAGAAATAACGGAACACTTCCTAATATTCAGATGTAGATAATTATTGGAACAATATGAGTAAAGTCTTCCTGTAGTAGAGCGCTATCTGAGAGACCTGAGATTTTTCTAATAATTTTCAAATCATCAGCATAAAGAAGAAATGAACTATTCTTAAAGACAACCTTAATGTCGTTCAGGAATATGTTAAAAAATTTTGAAAAATGCATTCTTTCTACATCTATTAATAAATACCTTCCTCAGCTATCAAGTAAGGAATCCCATATATATCAGTTGTAAGTCCATGAATATTTGGTACGTTATCAAAAAATTTAATCGGTGATTTGGATAATTTAGATAAGTAGAAGAGGCCACTAGAATTGGCAAATATTAAGCTTTCAGACCCGTCAATGACAAAATGATTTATTCCATATTCTTCTACGTTAGGAATAATACATTTAATTTTTCATTAATTTTAAATACAAATAAATCAAGATTTGCTGTATCTACAAAATATAAGTAATTCTTGTACTGCATATCAAAGATATCTACTCCTTTAACAATAGCTTGTCTTTCCACATTGTGGATTTCAAAATTATATTTGTAAATTCCATCACTACTGAATGTTATATCGTATTTTTAATCAAAAATAAACTAAAAACAAAATACAAAAAAACCAAAGGTAAAAACTTGTATCCGATCGGTATTCGACCCCGGACACCTGTGAAAATCAATCTTGCGCCTTGGCCGCTTCACTACGATGCTTATGCCCGACCGTTCGAAATTAACGACCATATTTTGCGTGGAAAATGCGAAAGAAAGAGTGGTTTGGAAGATATGAGGGAATAAAGAATATTACAAACATGCAAAGATAGGCGCGAAGAACATAACCCTTTCCTTGCAGTCGGGTAAATATTAGAAACGTAAAGCACGTTTTTCTACAGCGTTCGTTTGATACTTCGCATCGCGCAATCTTGTGATACTATTTTAAACTTTACACCCCTGAAAGTAATGTGCTACGATGGGCGGGAGGAGTTACAATAAAAGATCGAGTGAGAAATGAATATATATGAGGTAGTTTTAAAATAGCACCTATCGCCGACAAACTCACTGAATCAAGGGTACGATGATATGGTAATATAAAGCGACGTCCTGACTGATAATCACGTGTTGAAAAAGTGCTTTACCATTGCTACGTATGGGAGGAGAGGGAGATTTAGGCCACAAACTACCTGGATATCGATTGTCCTGAGAGACATGAGGAGACTGGGCCTATCTGATGATGATGCTTACCAGCGGAATGAAGTCGCCTCAAGGTTAAGTTAGCCGACCCCGCGTAACGGGGTAAAGGCGAGGAAGTACAAGAAAACCCCTGAAAGCAATGTTTACCTTTGAAACCTTATCATTTTAGAATTTAGACCCTCGGTTTTTATTACATAAAATATACATTTATATTAATATCTAAACTTTTTATTTAAAATAAATTTACTTCGCTAAAATCACGTGGAATTATGACAATGGAAAATTCTAATAGACAGTCTATTCTGACAGAGATTATCAGCCACAAAAAAAAGAAACTTGTATGTAAAATTATTTTTATTACATAAATATCATTTTAAATAAATATAATCACTTGTATATTATAATTCGTTCATATCAAAACTACGCATGTGTTCAATTACATTGTTATGTACTAAGGTCCTGGCATGAATTGCCCAAATAAAATCCAAATGGCTAAAGTTTTCATCCTCTACCAAGTACTTTCCGATCGGATTTCCCAATTCTCTATACAGTCTCTCTACGTCATCTACGGCAGCAAATGGGTCGCTTTGAGAATAGTAAAGAAAGACAGGAGCCGATATTTTGGAAAGATCATATTTTGGGGGTGAAACTCTGCCATACTTTATTAAGTTTCTTAGTGCTCCATAGTCATAGCGAAGGAACTCTTTGCCAGTAATACTCTGTCCGTAGTGCGCGAGCTGTTTCAGAGCAGCTCCAGCAGGAAAGTGTCCCGTAATGAGTGGCAACGTGGTCTGTCAAATTACAATATTAAAATTATACCTCTATATAACTGTATTGAAATATTAAAGTTGTAATTGAATGAGTAATCGGACTACTATTACAAAGCTGTTACAGTTTGTATGCTTGTTGTTAATTTTTAGTTAATGTTTGTTACACCTTCAAGCTGTAAATACTGGACGAATTTGGATGATTTTTTTTATAATTTATGATTTACGCAGATAGACTATGACCTGGAGTAACACATACACTACAAGTATTAAAAATTGACGGCGATGGAATTTAAAGTTTACACAATAACTAGAGCCCCGTGTTCGTAAGCATGCCTAATCAAGTTATGGATGTAACGAGATCAAAAATAGCCAATCTCCAAGTCATAAGTTATCTTTGTAATAAATTATGAGGAACCGTTACTCTTTTACTGTGCAAACAAATTAGAAACAAATGTATGAAAATAATTTTACTTACAACGTTTTGTTGTTGTACACTCCGTCCAGCAATTAAAAAAAGAAATTCACTGCAAATAGGCTGAAATTTACTTCCGTCCGAGCAGTACTCCAGACCCAGCTTCGTATAAATTTCATTATAAGGAAGAAATTCTTTAATCCCTAACAATGAAGACAATGTCTGAAAAAAATATGTTATAAGGTAAAATTCATAAAAATAACGTATTTATAAATAAAAACAAATTACCATTATCTCATTGGCGTGGGGTGCAAGTGCCAAAAATACGCGATTCTTATTATGAGCCATATATGCGACAGGCGCCAAAGCGTGCATTGATATGATCTTCTCGTTATATTTTGGTCGAAGTGAGCCCATCACAAAGAAAGACGTAGTGCCTTGAGAAAATCCTATATAATGCAAACGCGATCTTCCGGTGTATTCAAGTACGTAATCAATCATCGCAGGTAAGTCAAAATTTCCTATTTCATCCCAAGAGAAATCCCAAAATGTTGAATTGAAACGTGCATCTGGATTTAAGCTTACGTGCCTGCGTGAAAAATAATTTCCACGAGCATTACCCAACCATACATCAAAACCCTCCTCTGCTAAGATATATGCTAAAAATTAATAGAGTAATAAGTTTAATATGCATTCTATGATCAAAAAATAAACAATATTATAATAATCAACATTGAACATCTTATTTCAAAATATGGCAAAATAGAAACTTAAAAAAAACCGACTTCCAGACTAAAATGTGAAAAATAACTAGACGGGGGTTTTCATTTAGAATAGTGTGCTTTGATTTGCATCGGCTGGCACCGACTTCGAAAATATCTGATTAGGTATCTATTCTAAACGAGAACCACCGTTTATTTTTATTTATTTTTTTTTACTTTTAAGTGCCTCTAAGTCGGTTTTTATTTTTTTTAAGTTTTTATTTTTCCATTTTTAGTTTATACGTAATAAGCAGATAATGTGTAAGAATAAACTTTTTAATTAACATATTCGATTAAAACATTTATTAAAATTTTAAATAATTTATTGTTATTATAAATACAATATTGTTATTTATTTTATAATTAAAATTAAACTTCGGCGTCTTATTGTAACTGTTGATAAAACGATTGAAAATAAATATAAAAGGGAGGCGGAAGGTTTTTATGCCATTAAAAAGAGCTGAAAACATTATAAGAATGCTATCAATTTTCTAACACAATAATAAAGATAGTACAAAAATATTGAAAATATGACGAAATCGGGAGATATATACACATATAGAATACCTATAACTCCTTAACGTTCATCTGTTACTTTGTTGCACTAATGTGTATCCTAAAATAAGTATATATCCTATACATTCATACTCTCAAAGACTATAAATTACATTAAAACTTTAAAAAACACCCCCAACACCATAACCTACTCTATGAGCCATTTCAATGAGTCTAAACATTATATCTCTGTAGTTGAGTTTGAGTAAAAAACTTTTTAACAAAAATAAAAACCGACTTCAAACAAAAGCACTAAAAAGTAAAAAATAACTGATTGGTAGTTTTCATTTACTATACATACCTAATCAAATATTTTCGAAGTCGGTGTGCTTTGCTTTGTATGGGCTGGCACCGATTTCGAAAATATTTGATTAGGTATGTATTTAATAGGTAGGCTTTAATTACTTAGCCATAGCACACCGACTTCGAAAATATTTGATTAGGTATGTATAGTAAATGAAAATTACCAATCAATTATTTTTTACTTTTTAGTGCTTTTGTTTGAAGTCGGTTTTTATTTTTTTGTTAAAAAGTTTTTATTTTTCCCTTTTTAGTGTAGACAGTAGGAGCAAAGTAAGGATTCTAACGTGTTAGGCTTGTCAAATCAAACAAAATAAGCCCAAACTCAAAGTATCTACTATTAGCCGTTGAAGAGTTCCACCTATCCACCTTCTGGCCTTGCCATCAGATCAGGTCAACAACACCGAACCACTGTACTATCAACGGAAATAGAAATACTTGCAAAGTTTCAAGTCAATATGACAATTAGAAGTAGGTTAAATTCATCATTAGTTGTTTTTCCACCCTTAGGGGTGGTTTTTTTTTTTGAAATTTAAATGGGACCAATCTGGAAGGACCTTTCAAACACAACAAAAATTGTCCAAATTGGTTAATTAATGACGGAGTTCTGAGGTAACAAACATAAAAAAAAACATACAGTCGAATTGAGAACCTCCTCCTTTTTGAAGTCGGTTGAAAAGTTAAGTATTTTGCAGATTCCTGGTGACGTTGTAGCATCAAATCAAGTTTATCAGCCATTGATGTAACGGGATAAGTTTCGGATCGATTAGATCTGTGAAACTTTGAAAGTTGCTCATATTCTTTTACTGTCTAGAGAAGAGCTCATAGCCTGCTAACGGCTGAACGGATTTTCTTGATTTACTAGCGACTCACCCTCGCTCCGCTCGGGTTCGTTCCTAGTGAATATTTAGGTTTGTACGAGTATATATGTATATGCCGAATCATAAAAAAAAATTGTCCAAAAAATTAAAAAAATATTTATGGGGTGGACCACCCTTATGAAAAATAGTTTATGAACTATTCTCAGACTTACTGAATGTACACACAAAATTTCATAAGAATCGGTCAAGCCGTTTCGAAGGAGTTTTGTTACAAACACTGTGACACGAGAATTTTATATATTAGAAGATTATAGCTAAGAACACTGTCGATCAAGTCATCTTTAAAACAAAAGAAACTAGATTAAAAAATCCGTTCATTCGTCGTATTTTTAATTAATATATTTCATTTTTTTGCCTTTTGGTCCCGCCAGATGTCGCGATCACTATTATGTGTCACTATCATTATGTCGCCCTCAGTATATTACAAAGGTCCATAGGGTGGATGATTTTTTTCATTTCAAGGTATTTTATTATTAGAATATTTGTTAAGGTACTTTAATGCCATTTTTGATTTTTTTGGATCCATTTGGTTTTTTTGTGGGCAGGTTGTCTAACAACTATATAATGCCTTTGAGACATCTAAAACCTTAGTCTCTCCCGTGACGATGATTGCTTTAAAGCATTCAAAACGTCAGCAACCAAAAATCAAAATAAATCCGCGAAAAAATCCGAAAAGATAGTTTATGAATTGAATAGTTTAAACTTCCTAGCAAGTGTAATTTCAAAGCTATTTCTTTTACTTTGGAACTAGTTAAATTGAAATAATATTGATATTATGTAATTATTAGGTAGGTACTTATTATACTTACAATTAACAAAATATTGTCCAACTAATTAAAAATTATAAACTCTTTTCTAAAATTCTATAAAAAAATCGCAGACATATACGTAGGTACATAATATTATATTGGACCATTTATTATAACTTATCGACATATCGAAATTCAACCGACTTCTTCAAAAAGGAAGAGATTCTTACATCGTCGGAATCTGTTTTTTTATTAGGCATGTTTGAAATTCAATGGTTTTGTGTGCAATGTAAGTTGGCCCGGTTCTACTTCAAGAATGGTAAACTAATCAATATATATATAAATAATATGATCTTGAGGATATTCGGTTTAGATACGTATTTTTAAGCCTAATCAACAGCTCTGATAAGTAAAAGATTGTCATAGAAATTCAGTTTTAATAAATCGTTACGAATATCAAAGAACTAAATAGGTACGAATATAATAATTAAATAATAAATTTAATAAAAGTCATAACTCCAAAAACATACCTTAAAAGTAACTAAGTAAATGTAAAAAGTTTTATCAAAGAACCAGAAATGAAATAAGTACCCGAATAAGTAGGTACCCGACTATTGACTAGGTAGAAAAAATTTAGAATTTAATTTTTTAACGTAACTATATCTAGTGTACCTACATATGACGATCCTGAAAGTACCCACTTACCCAAGCCAGATTCCGGACCCATGATGATATTTTCACCTGAAGAAGATAGCAAACCATGCATAAGAAATACAACCGGTTTGTCACCAGACAAGACGTTCGCATTACGGCCATGCGGTATTCGGTGCACGGCCAATACATAGCCATCTTCAGTGGTCACAAAATGTTCTTCGAAAGGGTATTCATATTTTCTTACCAAATCTGGCTACATATAAAATTCAATATATGTATAAAAAAGATAAGACAGATTAATATTATGTTCAGAGTTAAAAAGTTATCTAACAACTTCTCTTTTGTAATTATTTACTCACCAGAGCAAGTAACGCATCTTCTGTAATATTCGTGGAAATGCGACTGCCAAGTGCATTATTTTTGATCGACTCCTCGATATAGTAAGCGTTTGGAGAGTGCCCACTGGCAGCTATCACGACACAGCTGCCAAACACCAATAGAGATAATAACATTTTTTCTAGGCACTGATTGATTTTTTGTGAAACAAGGTATTTTATAATAATATTTATCACTGATAATATAATCTTTATCTCAATAATACGTTATTGAAAATTATATCATAGATTAAATTTCATTTAATTTCTAATTAGGTACCTACAATCATATACATACAATGTAAGAAGACATGATGTGTTCTACTCTAGTACACCTTTGCGCAGTCTCTCCAACAACAATTCATTTTAATATTTAAAATACCTAATTCAAATCTAGATCAAGAAATAGGCATTAAGGACAAGAATAGGAGTGCTCAGGAGACCAAACATAAGAGAACTGTTCTACGTTTGACCTGTAGCGACATTAGAGGATTCTCAAGATTTATTTTTCACTAGCGGCTCACCCTCGCTTCGCTCGGGTTCACCTCTAGAATAGCACAAACAGATCTATCCCACGGGAACCGTTCATTTTTCCGGGATGAAAAGTAACCTGTTATTTGACCGGCAGTATAAGGTATCAGCATGCCAAATTTTACGAAATTAGGTGCGTAAGTTGTTGTGTACTAAGCTGTATAAATTACTATAGTTTTTTAACTATCCCACGGAAACTCTTTAATTTTCTGGAATGAAAAGTATCTTAGATGTTGACCGGGGATTTAAGGTACTACCATACAAAATTTAATTTAAACCGGTTCAATAGTTTCGGAGATTAGCCCGTACAAACAGACAAACAGAAGAGAAATAACCTCTACAGTTTTATTATATGTATAGATAGAATAGAATAAATAACGTATAATAAAACAGTAATGTATAATAATGAAAATAGTTATAGCGAGTGTACCTTAGGAGAAAGACATATACTATGTAGAACTTTTCTATAGACCTTTTTAGGACTTACAATTTTCTTGCACAATGTTTTGATCTATCTCTTAAGGTTGAGCCAACGTTAGCCATATAAATTTCTTGCCCTTGCTTCGATAGAACCAGTTATTGTGTTTTCGAGTAATCAATAATTTTCCTGTCGTAAAAGGTATCCTAAATGTTGACCCGAGTACTAAGTTTTATCAATACAAAATTTAGTTAAAATCGGTTGAGTACTTTTTGCGTGAAACGCGCACATCGATTTGACTAAGTTAGTTTTATTATACGTATAGATAAGAATAAATATTGCGAGTGTAACTTAGGAGATAGACATATACAATTCAGAACTTTTCTGTAGGACTTTTCAAGACCTACAATTTTTTTTGTATATTGTTTTAATGTATGTATGTCTTAAGGCTTAGCCAGCGGAAGGTTTCTAAGGAGGACTCTATAAAACCAGTTATTGTATTTTCCCGTGGGAAAGAAAGATTTTCTTGAAGTAAAAGGTATCTAGGCAGTGGTATCCCAGTGGTAACGCGCTCGCTTGGGAAACCGAGTGAAGCAAGTTCAAATCCCGGGTCTCGCACCTCTGATATTTTCATGTGCGAATCATTTCTAACACAATTACCACTTGTCTTAACGGTGAAGTAAAACATCGTGAGGAAACCTGCATGCCTGAGAGAACCCAGCAAGTTTTCAAAAGACATGTGAAGTCCGCCAACCTGCACTTGGCCAGCGTGGTGGACTATGGCCTGATCCCCCTCGTACTGAAGGGAGGCCCGTGCCCAGCAGTGGGACGTTAAAAAGGGCTGAATACATACATACATACATAAATACATACAAAAGGTATCCTAAATGTTGACTCGAGTAATAAGTTATCACCAAATTTCGTTGAAATCGGTACATTACTTTTCGCGTGAAACGCTCACGCAAAAACAGACAAACAGACATACAGGCAAACATACAGGCAAACAGACAAACAGACAACTTTTTAATAACTATTGTTTTGGGGTTTATGTTGTGTACATAATACGTTACAAATAAACAAAACATCTATCCCACGGGAACAGTACATTTTTCCGGGATAAAAAGTAACCTATTTCTTATTCTGATGTATGAACTATATATATTATTGTAAAGTTTCATCAAAATCCAATCAGTAGTTTTTGTGTACTAAGCTGTATAAGTTACTATAGTTTTTTGGCTATCCCACGGAAACTCTTTAATTTTCCGGGATGAAAGGTAGCTGATTTGTTTTAGTCATGTATGAACTATATTATTGTAAGGTTTCATTAAAATCCAATCAGTAGTTTTTGTGTACTAAGCTGTATAAGTTGTTATAGTTTTTTAACTATCCCACGGGAACTCTTTAATTTTCCGGGATGAAAAGTATCTAAGATGTTGCACGGGGATATAAGGTACCACCATGCAAAATTTTATTTAAATCGGTCCAATAGATTCGGAGATTAGCCCGTACAAACAGGAAAACAGATAAACAGCTCGCTCGGGTTCGTCCATACCTACGAATATGTTGTATTATCTCTTTAACCATTTGTCCAAATTATATGCAGTAAAAGGGAAAAGTCTTTTGTTTTAAACATTTTAGACGATAAATTTACTTATTTTGATAAGAATTCATAATTGTTGATAATATGACCAATAAACATGACCTACCGATTTAAATTATTTTTTTAATATAAAAAACTACTTTTTGTGACTTAAATATAAAAGTTAGACATATGCTGTCGCTGACTTTTTTGTAGGCATTATTAAGCTCTACAACTTTTCTCTAGAACATAATCATATATCTCTCACCGTTAATGCAGCCTTCATAAGAAACCTTTTCGTTCGACCGTTTTTTCTCCGACTTACTTTGCAAATCCGACTACCACGAAAAAGCCTTTTCATTCTTCGCGTTAATATATAGCCTATGACACTCAGAAATAACGTGGCTTTCTATTGGTAAAAGAATTTTGAAAATCGGTTCAGTAGATCCAGAGATTACCCCCTACAACGTCACAAACTCACAAACTCACAAGATCACAAACTTTACCTCTTTATAATATTAGTATAGATATAGATAAGTTCTACATTCAAGAAATTTATTCAAAAAAGTGAGATTATAATCTTGTGACTCCTCCATTCAACGTGACATTGGCGTAATTATTTGTGCACAACTGGCACACATTAAAGCCATTAAATAAAGAACTGATTATAATTTTAATAATTCCAAACCCATCTTTAGTTCAAATTAACGATTAAAAACTAAACAATGTTTTAGAGTGAGAAAATAATTTGAACACACAAAGAAAATTTTCATCTTTGTACGTGATACATATACTAAAACACTCACATGACGCGCAAAAATGCGCATTGATTAACTTTTAATCCTTCGTTATCTCATAATTTGAATGTAGTTTAAAGGACAAGAAACAGATATGCAGAATAAAAGAACATATTTTTAAAATATGATTTTTATAATACTTTCTTAGATTTACGCGAATATTTGCCATTTTAAATAAAACTATCTTTTCGGATTATTTAGCGGATTTATTTGGATTTTTGGTTCCCGACATTTCGAATGCTTTACAGCATTCATGGTCACGGGAGAGACTGAGGTGTTAGATGTCTCGAAGGTACATGTCTGTAACAACTATACCTTTGAGACATCTAACACCTTACATATGATATAATTCTAACTAAGCCGAATCTGTACATTAAATATTTTTTGGAAAATCTTATTGAAATAGACATTATTATCGATACAGAGATCGAATCTAGTTTTTAGAATTTTTGTCTGTCTGTCTGTCTGTTGCCGCATCACGGAAAAACCACTGAATGGATTTTGATGAAATTTGGTATAATAGTAGCTGGTTATCCGGGTCAACATATAGGATACTTTTATCGCGGGAAAATATCTCATTTCTGAGAAAAAATATAAAAACTGCATTATAAGAGTATACTATGTAAAACCTAAGAATTTGGTTTTTGGTCATCTGAACGCGGGCGGAGCCACGGGCAATGCTAGTATGTATATAAAATCCTGGTGGGTGCAATTGTAATTCTTCTCCCGTTTGATTGGTTCGTTTTTTTTTACTTAAAGGGTCTTAGCCAATTGTTAGTTAAGGTGTTTGAATATACAGCTATTTTACCAAATACAGCAACCTGATTGTTTTTAAATAAAAACAAAGGATTATTTTATATAAATGTTTTATTAATGCTATGATAATGTAAAAGTACGTGATAAATGAATAAGTTAAGCAAACCTAATATTAACCTATTCTGCCTTAGTTAATTATAAAAGAACATATTAGGTTCAAAAATTAAATTAAAGCAATATTTTCTAATGAAACTTGACTTTATAGATAATTAACTAATAAATACAATAACAGATATAATGAATGTTTTATTATTTCCTTATTTAAGGCACTGACAAACTGACAGAAAGAAAAAATAACCATCTTATATTTACACTTTTTTTTAAATTAATTATTGTTGCTATTTAGTACTATTTTGAAAAAATACAAATAAGACTTCAGAACAAATAATAATCATTGAACATTGTTCTTTACAAATAGCCACAAGTAATGTTAATAAAATTGGGTTTCTATAAAGAAACAGGATGCATAAGAATTACAGGTATGTCTATAAAGATATGCTTCAATAGAAAAGATTGCTTAAAACACGCAAAATACAAATAATAATCATCCAGTTTATGAACTTCAAAGATCCTTTTGTTATATACTACAAGTCATCATCGTCTGAATCAAGAGCAGCTCTCCTTCTGTCAAACTTTACTGTGCTGGTTGATTTAGGCATCTGTTGATTAAGAGATTCAAGTAGTTGAATCAGTTCTTTTTCAGATATTCTAGTATTGACTTGTCCCGTTTGAGCCATTCTACAGATCATATTTTCTACCATTGCACCTTTCTCAGGTTTGCTCAACTTGATTGTGTTTACTGAAAACAAATTTCAACGTATAACAAATCATTTAATATTATCATGCATTAACTAAGCCAATTTTAACTATACTTATATAGATAATTAATTTAAAATGACTTATTAACCTAAATAACTACAAAAATATAAAAATTACATCGTGCTCTAGCATCTTGACTCAAAACTTGAGAAAGAATTGAATGTTTTGCTTCTTCCATAGCTTGCATTCTTTCTTCTTGAGCTTTAGCCTGATTTGGATCTCCGCCCTGGAAAAATATGCATAAAAATATTGAATTTATTTATTAATAAAACAATTAACTTCATATTTAATGTAAATAGCGTTCTAGTTTTTTAAAGAAAAATATAAAAAATATCAGATGCTGTTAAGAGTCATTTAATCATAACCTCAATAAGATATTACACATCTAACATACCCCATGTTGAGCTTGTAACTGCGCCAATCGTTGCTGTCTAATTTTTTCCAGTTCGGGATCAGCCATTTAAATATATTATTTATTTTTTAGTATGTATTATTAAACCTATAAAATGTAGTTAGTAGTTACTGTTTAGTGTTTTTTTCTAATTTTAGTGTCATAAGCATAACTTATGTCACTTCACTTTTGTCAGTTGACACCACTGACCACAGACTAGGCATGGAACATTTCACGAGTAGCAAGTGAAAAATCACATGAAATGCGTTATCATACGTATCATACCTGCTACTTAAATTCACAGTGACTGCTACAAATCACCATAAACTTTATAGTCGATTTTTGCCTCTTCGGCTTGTGCAAATCGGCAGATTATTGAATTGGACACTTTTCAGGATGTGACTAGCCTACCACACCTTAATCTGACGGTTTCAAGTATTTCTACCTTATCAAAACATTTTTTAAATATTTTAATCGGCTTCCCTAGACGCGCCCCTTTATATAGAAGACTTATATTATGGTGAAAGTACTCAATAGAGTGCAAGGTAACCTCTTTTATGTTAATCTGCCGCGCTCGAGTAACTACAGAAAATCCCCTCTTGAGCTCCCCTACTAATACTTCATTTTAATAGCAAATAATATAAAGTGTGACACCAGACCGTCGAAATAAAAAATCATTGCCTGTGAAAAGTAGGTGAAATCACGTGAAAAATATACGTAATTTTATCATATGATAATGATTTAAAAGTAGCAATCATTTCCATGCTTACCACAGACTAGCGTCTAGCGATGCGCGACTAAGAATGATTCCATTCGAACTATTCGATTATAAAAATCATTAGACCCATCGAATGAATTAAATCTGATAGTGCGTCTGGTTGGGATAATGTACCAACACGATTTCTTAAATATATAAGAAAGGATATCGTTCCTTTATTAACTCACCTTGCTAACCTCTGCTTTAGAAAAGGTATTTTTCCTAGTCCTCTAAAGCAGGCTATTATTACGCCTGTTCATAAAGGTGGGGACAGAGACGACATAACAAATTATAGACCTATTTCAGTATTACCCTCAATATCCAAAATAATAGAAAAACTTATTAATATTAGGCTTTTAACATACCTTAAAGATTATAATATCATCTCAAAATCACAATATGGATTTCGTCAGGGCATTTCCACCGAGCACGCAGTAACTGCACTAACTAAAATTGTAACAGAACAATTAGACAACGGTAAACCGTGTCTAACTGTATTCCTTGATCTAAAAAAAGCTTTTGATACTGTCTCTGTCCAAATTCTTGTAAAAAAGCTTGAACATATTGGGGTACGTGGAATTCCACTACAGCTCTTAAATGACTACCTCTCAAATAGGAAGCAGAAAGTTAGGGTTACTCATTACACAAGTGAATATACAGACGTATCATATGGTGTTCCGCAAGGCAGTGTCCTGGGACCTACTCTGTTTGTCATCTATGTAAACCAGCTCTGTAATATACAACTAACAAATACTAAGGTATTCTCATATGCTGATGATACAGCTCTAGTCTTTACGGGTAATTCTTGGCACGAGGTACGGCTTAATGCCGAAATAGGGTTGGCTAAAGTAGCCAGGTGGTTGTCTAAGAACCTACTCACACTGAACATTTCTAAAACAAATTATATATGCTTTAGCATATGTAAACGTAAACAACCTAGAGAAGATTTCAATATAAAAATACATCTGTGTAATAATGATAAAAGCACTACCTGCAGTTGCTTAAATATAACGAGGGTTCCATGTGCTAAGTATTTGGGTGTTTTCATTGACCAGAGATTATCTTGGCATTCTCAAATCGATCATGTGGCAAACAGAGTCAGAAAATTGAGCTGGATGTTTCGGTCCCTAAGACACATAGTCCCTAAACAAGTTTTTAGCAGCTCATCTCGCCCCAGGAATCTCTTGAATGAAATATATTTTGCCTTAGTACAATCAGTGCTATCATATTGTATCCCGATTTGGGGCGGAGCTGCTAAAACGAAGTTTATTGAACTTGAGAGAGCACAACGTGCTCTAATGAAATGTATGTACTTTAAAAAACTTACATTTCCAACTGAGAATCTGTACCAAGTTAGCACACTGCTCTCAGTTAGAAAGCTGTATATTACTCAAACTATACTAAAAGTACATAAGGCTGTTTCCTATGATGCGTCTTTAACATTAAAAAGAAGGAAAGAAAATATAATTAAAATCCCACAAACAAGAACAACATTTGCGTCAATGCAATTCGATAAAAGATCTGCACAATTATATAATAAAATTAACAGTATCATTTATGTTTACCCCTACAATTACCATAAATGCAAAAAGACATTAATAGATTGGATAAAAACCCTTAGTTACAATGATACGGAAAAACTGTTAGAACATATTCATTAAATACTCACACACGCACACACACGCACACACACACACACACACACACGGACACACACACACACATACACACACACGCGCACGCACATACACACACGCACACTCACACACAATACACAGACAAATATATGTACGCTAATTTTTATTTTTGTTTTTATTTTTATTTTTTATTTTTTTGTTTGTCTTAATTGATCTATTTAAGTTTGTAGTATCACCCATAATATTATAATCAGCTAAAAGATAAAATTACTTTTTTATGAAAGGGCGGGGTCTCCTAATACAGGCAAATTATTTGCTTAAAAGGGGATCTCAACCACAAAATTTGAAATTTTGATTAGATTTGAAATAAATAAATAAATAAATTTTAAATTAATCAATTAATTATATGTTAATTTTAATTTCAAATGTAAATGTATATTGTTATCTAATTTATAGTTTTTATTGTTGTTGTGTTATAATAAATAAATTATTATTATTATTATTATTATAATTACGAAGTTTAATAACCAACTTGATACCTGCTAGTTGCTACACTAAACACTTGGTCGCTAAGTATTAGTTATAGTGGTGTGAATGATATATTAGTATGCGCTAAGAGATTAGTAATATTGAAGGATCTATGAAATATGAATTAGTAATCTGACAAACTCTGATATGCAATTCGACTGAGGCGTTGACGGAAAGGCGACCGCTCTAACTGATTATGTATTCATCGCTGAAGTGGCGGCAAAGCAAATTATCCATTTATTCGTAATTCATTATAAAGTCAAACTGGCGACTGAGTCGCTGTTGCGATCAATTTAGTTCAAGCGCTGTTAGTAATTACTAATTAGTAATATTATTCGATTATTAACATTAGTATATTACTAATATTCAAGTCAATTAATGTGTAAGTAGTTTCGAATGATTCGAATAGTCGGATCATTCCAGTCGCGTATCTCTACCATAAACGCATGTTTATAATCTGTGTCCAGTAGTGACAACTGACAAATCTTGTTGTTTCTGGTCAGTGGTCTCTAGCATTGATGACAAATAAGTCTCTACTTATAAAGTGTCTATTTATTTGTCATCCATGGTGTCTACCTACTGTATGGGAAAATGTGTATGGCACAGTGTAGCCAACTTAGGGGTTTTCCCCCAAATTTATGGGCAATTAAATTGCACTGGGGGTTTTTAGGAGGAAAAAAATTAGGGCCTTTTTTAATAACATGACTTAAATATAAATAACATTAACGATTCTTTTTATCTGTAAATAAAAATATTTTTTTAAATAATTAACTTTACAAATATGTTATCTATGAGTATTAAATTTATGATAAACATAAAACAACGAAGACATTCTTAACTTTGACATTTGTAAATGATCGAACTTTTTGATGAGTTAACTAGAGTCGTCCCTAGATTGCTTCGAGCGAAGCGGCGGTGAGTCGCTAGTTTTATAATAAGTATGGCATCTAGTGGTGAACCGCATAATGTCATAAGTCATAACTGGTGACATTTCTAAGTTTGTGCTGGTAACCAGTGTAGCCAACTTAGGGGCTTTGCCCCAAATTTAGGGGTAAAAAAATCGCACCGGGGATTTTTTAGGGGGCAAAAATATTTAGGGTCTTTATTTAGGGGTTTATGAAGTTTCGGTTAAAGACTTGAAAAAATGATATTCCTCTTTTTATTATTTACTAAGTTATCTATGGACTTCATTATTATTTTTAAATGGTTATATGTAATTATTATAATAATAACCAAAAATAAGGTTTACGCTACTTGTAATAATTTAAAATAAAAAAAAAAAATATTTTAAAAATAAAAAAAATGCTATTAGATAAAAACCTATATTTTTCAAATTGTTATTTTAGGGGGTTTTCGAATTTACTTTTAGAGGGATAAAAGTGTTGGCAACACTGGTATGGCAACACACTTTGAAAATTTATTACCTATTTATACAAATAGGTAATGAAATTGTTACTAAGCCGAATCTGTACATTAATTATTTTTTGGAAAATCTTATTGAAATAGACATTATTATCGATACAGAAGCCGAATCTATAGTTTTTAGAATTTTTGTGTCTGTCTGTCTGTTACCGCATCACAGAAAAACCACTGAAGGGATTTTGATGAAATTTGGTATGAAGATAGCTGGATATCCGGGTCAACATATAGGATACTTTTTACCGCGGGAAAATGTCTCATTTCTGAGAAAAAATACAAAAACTGCCATGTAAGAGAACACTAATATGTAAGACCTAAGAATTTGGTTTTAGGTCATTATAACGCGGGCGAAGCCGCGGGCAATGCTAGTTGTTAAATGCCAAGAAGAAAAAAAGTGATTTATCTCAAATCTCTAAGTCAGTAAAGAGGATGAAGTTAGCTCATTCTCGTGAATCCGTTGAGGACCGAGAGGCTCGCTTAATAAAATATCGCGAGCGTCACGCAGAGCCTCCGAGACCTACGCGAAGCGTGAATCTCGGCTAACTACTATGTTTTACTAAATGCATATGAAATTATATACTGTCTGTTTGTTTGTTCCGGTTAATCTCTGAAACGGCTGGACTGATTTTAACGGGACTTTTACTGGAAGATAGCTGATGTTATAGGGAGTAACATAGATTATTTTTATTTTAGAAAAAGAATTAGGATTCTGCTCAAAAAAAATTAAACACACCTAGGGACGAACCCGAGCGTGAGTGTGTGACGGCGAGTCGCTAGTTGGCTAATAAAAATTAAACAAAATTATACAATATAATATTTACTATATAACACTACATATTTCTTCTTAACCATGTACACTATCATGCCATTGTAATGTTTGGTATTCAATTTTTCCACTAGTATTGTTAAATGCTAGTACAGCTAATTTATTAACAGCTACTGATAATCTTCCAAATGCTACTAAATTAGCAGGTCGAAATGGTGTATCATCATTTACACATCTCAGCATATACATTGCATGAAATTTTACTGGATCACCTAAAAATACAATACCTAGTAATAAAACATGACTTAGGTACATTTTTTAATTATCATTAATAAATTTTAATAAACATTTGATTTATTAATAAGAAAAAAGTAATAACTTAATAATAAACTAATTGGCCTGGGGTGATGCTGCAAAAACTATTTTACTACCACTTGAACGTGCTCAAAGGGCCTTCCTAAAATTAGCCACCTATCACCCTTATTCCTTTCCCACAAATATGCTTTACTTGGAATGCAAGGTACTAACGGTCCGACCATTATTTATATTGCACGTCTCATTAAAACAGCATACTGAACTCCCTTTTTACCCACTTCCTTCAGGAAGTGTCTGAAGACAAGAGAAGAAAAGATTTGGTCTGTACTAAGCCACGAACCAAACATGCTTTTGCTAATAGGTTTTATATATTTTTAGGAGCTTTTTTGTACAACAAACTCAATAGTTTTGGATTTATATAGCATAAGTTATAAAAAATTTAAAATAATAATATCGGAATTTCTTTAAAATTTGAACTACACAGACAGAAAAAATGTTAGAAATATTAAAATAACGTTGATTATAAATTTTTATACATATAAATAGATGTGAGTCTAGTTAGTTACATAAGTTTTCATACTTGTCATTTTATATATAGTCTGCGCTTATATGTAAGTTTCTAAGTTTGCTCTTGCTCTGTTCTAAGGCTTTATCACAGTGAGAAATGTATGGTGTAAAATAGGTTAACAATCTGTGTTTCAGGTCATAGTTTTAGAACTGAAACACAGATTGTTAACCTAGTTCAGGTAAGTTCCAAATTGTATTGTGTCCTTGGTCATTTATTTTATTTTGTAAATATTATAATAACTTTGTAACAGTATTTCAATAAAATTATTATTACTATTAATTAGTATTTTATTTGTTAACATTTTTATATGTAGAAATAAATTACCAGGATATACAAGATAGTCTGCTCCAAATTTTGAACCACTTGTAATATAGTGACCCTTTTCCCATAAATCTTTAAAAACTGCATAACGAGCTGAACCTTCTCTATCAAAAACACTGGGTCTTAAAACACTTATAGAACTTCTTTTATGCTCTGTAAGATAATAATAAATTAATAATTATACAAAAAATATACTAAAGCAGGTTTACTGCGAAAACCTGCTAAACTACATTTTTGGCAAAAATGAGTTAAATAAATGAAAATTCTTATCTTTTCAAACTCTGTATACTGGTAAAACCGGCTAAGTGCTACGTTAAATACTTTAGATGATATTACAAAGTAAAAACTGTTATATACAACAATTCGATCAACACTCGATTGCTAAAATATCATAAACTAACAGTATTACCTCACTGAGCTGATGAGTTTCTTTATTTCATACACTTCTATGGCACATACTTAGACTACACAAAAATAAAATCTTTAATAAATATCCTAACTTGTGACTACTACAGTATTTAAGGCCTACTAAAATTATAGCATTTTTATTAGGTACATATAAACTTTTAAAATGCAATAACTCAAATCTAAGTTGACTGCACTTAGCTGGTTTTCACAGTAAGCCCTCGATATGGTGTTATTTATTTACTTGCATTTTCATTATCTTCTTAAAATTATTAAACAATCAAATGACATATAGTCTAGTCAACAAATGCCTTTTTGGTCAACTTTTTTCAGCAGTCTTAGAAAAATATGAAAAAGGTGTCATTCGATTCGGAATGGCAGGTAGATGATTCTTGAAAAAAATCAAATTCCACTTGCTAGAATTGCAAAAGTTTAAACAATTAAATAAAAGTAAAAATGGAGCTTTAGTTTTTTGTTAATATCTCAAGAAGTAATTGAGATTTTTCAAATATAAAAAAAGATTCAAGCCTTGTTCATATTTTTTCGAGACTGATGAAAAAAGTTGACCAAAAAGGCAATTATTGACTTGACTAATACTGTAAAAAGTACTTGCAATAATGAAATTTTAGTAAGAATTTTTCTTCTTTTATGATTATTATATATAGTATTTTATTAATAATTTACCTATATATTAGCAAAAGGATATTCAAAATTGGTTCAGAAATCTTAGAATTGATCAAATACAAACAGATTAATCAACAGATACATGTACGAGTATATGCTAGGAAACTAGTTATCATTTGTATGCAATGTAAAAATCATTTATTTATTGACATTACCTGTATTTATAAAATGTTCAGTTGGCAGATGTACTAAAACATGAGCAGGAGCCAATTTAGGTAGTTTGTTTATTTCTTCTTGTAACAAAATGTCTTTATCTAGGTTTGCATCTAAACAATAGAATTTATTAAAACAGGAGTTCAAATAACTTAATGTATTTTAAGTACTTAGATATTTACTAGCGGCTCACCCTCGCTTTGCTTGGGTTCGCCTCTAGAAAAACTAGTAGAGATCTATTAGTTCACATGGGAACCATTCATTTTTCCGGGATGAACCGTAACCTGTTGTTTGACCGGAAATATAAGGTATCAGAATATTAAATTTTACTAAATTAGGTGCATAAGTTGTTGTGTACTATGTATATATAAGTGTTGTGTACTATGTATATATAAGTGTTGTGTACTATGTATATATAAGTGTTGTGTACTATGTATGTATATGTACAGTATAAGTTTTTAACAATCCCACGGGAACTCTTTAATTTTCCGGGATGAAAAGTATCTAAGATGTTGCCCGGGGATATAAGGTACCACTATGCAAAATTTCATTTAAATCAGTCCAATAGATTCGGAGGTTAGCCCGTACAAACAGACAAACAGAGAAACAAAAAATTTGAAAAAATCTGGATTTGTTCTCTTTGTCTTCTTACATCCCCCTAACTCGGTTTTTAGTATTTTTTTTCTATGTACAGACATTCGACCTCTACAGTTTTATTATAGTATAGATATTAAGAAATACACTTACTAAATATTCCCTTAGATAATAATTTTTGCTTTTTGCCTGCAAGTATGATGTCTATTTTTTGTGATAATTGTTCTATTTTTCTCTTCCTTAATGCATCAGATTGCTCTTCTAAAATTCTTAAAAATTATATAATATATTATATTGTAATATTATTATTATTTTTTAATTACATTCAAAAAATGTTTCTATAAATTATTTAAATGCTACATTTTTGTAGACCATTCAAAAATAATAATAATGACTAATAATAATGAATTATAAAACATAATATACATATATTTAGGTAACATACTTTTGGTCAACCTCTTTCATTTCCTGTTTTTGTTCTTCAGATAGACTGTTATTTATGCCTGGTAGTTCGATAAGCTCACAAATTCCTTTTTTTACTAGCAGTACCGCTTCTTCTGTCATTAAAACCATTGGTAACCCTGTAAATAAAATTAACAACATTTCTGAAATTTATAAAATGTCTTAAATTTCGTAATTAGTTATAATATTTAGGTTAAAGCAAATAATAATAGAGTATACCTTGAAAATCATTTTGTCGAGGAAAAGAAGGAACCGTACCAATCAGTGCACCGCATATTCTATGGTTTATTCGTAGAGTTTGCCAATCTTAAATTTAAAATGAAACATGAAATATTTTATTGATAATTATTTTCGTGTTCCTTTTTAAAATCCTAATATTTACCATCAGAATTCCAAACGTATGCATCTCCATTATACACATATAAAGGTATCATATTCTATAATAAAAAAGTATTCAAAATCTTTATTTCAGTTTTTAGATTATATAAACATTTTTATTTTGTTTTTATTGCAATGATTAAGAAACATTAGGTACCTATCTAACAAAATAAGATATAATAAATAATAAGTAATAACTAATAACCTATTTTTTTTTGACATTAAAAATACTAAATAGACATACGTTCGGAAATATGTTCTTAAATAAATATTCAAAATAAAAATTGTGTTTCTTTACCTGAAAAATGTAATAAAACTCTGATTAACACTACTCATATTCTTATATATTACACTTTACAGTCTAATCATTATAATAGTGCAAGTTCATCACTTCTCAGTTTCTTCACTATTAGATTCAAATTTCTACATAAGTCAAAAATCAGCTGTTAAATGGTAAACAACGGTCGATTTTTGTACGGTATTTTTATGATATCTGTAGTGTAAATTTGTAGTTGATAAATGATAATAATCTGAAAAAAATTGTACATATAATACGTATAAAAACATTTACCTAATATAAATTATTTTTAAATTAGTTTAGCTAGACATAAAACACAAGTGAATGGGATAATTCAATCCGGACCTACGCATGTCTAATGGGATTACATAACCTGTAAACAATGGCAACTAAAAAAGTTTTAGTGGGTAAGTTGTGAATTAAATATACATTAATTATAGAGATTTCAATGGAATCCATCCACATAACATATTTAAAATACAAAAGCTTATTATAATCTGCTGTACATATTTTGTTAATAGGCGGCGGTACCGGGTTTGTTGGAACGCGGCTAAGTAGACTTTTAAAAGCTAATAATTATAACGTAATAAATCTATCTCGAATGCCTGCTGCTAACAATATATCGTGGACATCAATAGAAAATTCTGGTATACCCTCAAATACTTGTGCAATTGTAAATCTTGCTGGGCAACAATTTATGGACTTCACAAAAGTTTGGACTCCAGGGTATGTAGATAATAAAGAAATATATAGCTTACATAATATTTTCTTACATTTATGTGAATACCCGTTACCACCCATGTCATGTGTATCACTCGTGCTTTGCTCCATTTCATCCTTAGGTTTTTTCCCCATACAAACTTTTATCCCCAAATCCCCTTAAGGGATGATTTCCGGAATAAAAATTATCCTATATCCTTCCCAGGATCTCAAACTATCTACTTACCAAATTTCATCTAAATTATTTCATTAGATCGAGAGATTACCCCATACAACCTCACAAACCTTATCTCTTTATAATATTAGTATAGATTTGACATCTATACATATAATAAAATTCTAACTGAGCCAAATGTGTACATTAAATATTTTGGAAAATCTCATAGACATTATTACCGATGCTGCGGCCGAATCTAGTTTTTAAAATTTTTGTCTGTCTGTCTGTCTGTTACCACATCTCGGAAAAACCACTGGAGGGATTTTGATAAAATTTGGTATGATGATAGCTGGTTATCCGGGTGAACATATAGGATACATTTTATTGCAGGAAAATATCTCATCTCTGAGAAATCGATACTAAATATTAAAACATGGGCATAAAATTATATTATTTTTTTGTGGATTTATTTTGATTCTTGGTTCCTGTCTTTTTGAATTCTTTGCAGCACCCATGGTCACGTCAGCTACAACTTTATTTAATATGTAGTTATTGTTATACCTTTTAATTGAACAACATCTTAATTTTAACCATTTCAGATTTAAACAAAATTTGACATCTATACATATAATAAAATTGTAACTGAGCCAAATGTGTACATTAAATATTTTGGAAAATCTCATTGAAATAGACATTATTACCGATGCAGCGGCAGAATCTATAGTTTATAAAATTTTTGTCTGTCTGTCTGTCTGTTACCGCATCACGGAAAAACCACTGGAGGGATTTTGATAAAGTTTGGTATGATGATAGCTGGTTATCCGGGTCAACATATAGGATACATTTTATTGCAGGAAAATATCTCATCTCTGAGAAATCGATACTAAATGTTAAAACATAGGCATAAAATTATATTATTTTTTTGTGGATTTATTTTGATTCTTGGTTCCTGTCTTTTTGAATTCTTTGCAGCACCCATGGTCACGTCAGCTACAACTTTATTTAATATGTAGTTATTGTTATACCTTTTAATTGAACAACATCTTAATTTTAACCATTTCAGATTTAAACAAAATGTTCGTAATTCTCGTGTATACACAACAAGAGCATTAGCTACAGCAATAAACAAAAGTGAAAATAAACCCAAAGTATTTGTCTTAATTACTGGTGTAGGTGCCTATGAGCCCTCTGAAACTAATTGTTATGATGAATCAAGCCCTCCAACAGGAAAAGATTTCTTCTCGAAACTTCTTGTAGAATGGGAAAAAGCTGCTACTGTAGACCCACCTGTAAGACTTGTAAGTATAACCTTTTTTTAATACAATTGTTTATTCAATTTACTTATTTCTTTAGTTTATTTTCTATATAAAGATATATGGGATAATAAACACAAACAGACTAAAAATCAATGTATTTTAGGTAATAATTAGATCAGGTGTAGTTCTTGGCCGAGAGGGTGGCATGATTAAAAATATGATATTACCTTTCTATTTTGGACTTGGTGGTCCAATTTCTTCTGGAAAACAATTCTTACCATGGATTCATATAGATGATCTAACAAGATTGATACATTTTGCTGTAGAAAATCAAGAGGTAAAAGGAATATTAAATGGTGTTGCACCTCAAGTTATTACCAATGCAGATTTTACAAAGGTTAGCTAAAGATAATATATTTTATACTACATTTAAAATAATATTATTGTTATTTCCAGTAAAAAATAATATACTAGCAACTCGTCCTTGCGCTTCTCTCGGCTTTATACCTAGTGACAAACAAAAGCAAATTTGGATAGATTTGTGATTTCCCATGTGATCACAAGACAACTATGAGTAAACTAGACAGCATACAACGGATGGCATGTCTAATCATCACGGGAGCCTTCCATTCGGCACCAGGCGACGCTCTAAATGCTTTGTTGGACATAGCTCCGCTATATCTCCACGTGCAAAAAGAAGCTAAATCTTGCCTCTACAGGCTCTGTACACAATCGAATGTAAAGTTGCAATCGCAATATATGAATAAACTCAAAGAGTTGACATTCGAACACAAAACTCTGAAAATGCCAGTCGATGGTATGAGTACAGAGTTTAACTTCGCAAAACAGTACCAAATAGATCTTCCCAACCGGGACATGTGGCTAAAAAACCAAGAGTCTCACAAAAAGGGCAGTCATGTTTGGTTCACAGATGGATCCAAGAAAGGATCTGATGTAGGGTGCGGTATCTATGGCCTTAAGCCTAGATTTGACATGAGTGTCAATCTGGGCAAGGAGGCCACCATCTTCCAAGCCGAGGTCTTCGCCATCAACAAATGTGCTGAAGTCATCCTGGAGAGGAAGCTTAGAAACCAAAATATCTACATCAACTCAGATAGCCAAGCAGCACTTCTGGCTATAGATTCTCTTGAGACCAACTCTAAGTTGGTCAAAGACTGTATGGAAAATCTGAATGTCCTGGGCACATCCAACAGAGTTACCCTCAGATGGGTCCCGGGTCCACTCAGGCATAGATGGGAATGAAAAGGCTGATGCACTGGCAAGAAGGGGTGCTGAAACCCCAGTATGTGGCCCAGAACCATTTTGTGGTATTGCAAAAACAACATGCCTATTCAATTCTCAAAATTCACATGCAATCGAATCGCCAAGCACTTCAAGAGTGGGCAATCCACTTCTGGACAAAAACACTCTAAAGCGCTAATTAAGGGATATCGCAGAAAGTTTACAAAAGAGTTGCTTCAACTCAACAAGTATAAAACCAGTGCAGTAACCAGAATACTTACTGGTCACTGCAAACTCAATAAACATATGTTTACCCTCGGCCTCAGTCAGACCGCAATGTGCAGACTATGCCATGAGACAGAGGAAACTGCTATGCACATCCTCTGCTCGTGCGGTCCACTCATGCACCGCAGAAGTATCTACCTAGGGCAGCATATTATGCAACCGGAAGAGATACAGATGCTCCCCGCTCAGAAAATCTGGAAGTTCCTGGAGTCAACAGGACTAAGCGGAGAACTTTGAACTAACTATAAAGGGAGCTACAATGGACCAAAACTGGTCGACGTAGCTAGGGCCGACCTCGGCACCACACCCAAAACAATAATAATAATAATAATAATAATAATGTGATCACGGGAACCATACATTGTATACTACAAGACTATAATCAATATCTGTGCCTTTTATCCAGATCCATTTAGCTGTTCCAGCATGTTTGAGAAACAAACATCCATCTAAACTTTTGCATTTATATTAGTAATGGGATTGTTGACTATGCCTTTGTGCATGCACACATGAGTAATCCACATATGATTTTAAAAAATGACATTTACTCTTATATTTTCAGGCATTTGCTAAGGCTTTATCCCGACCAGCAATCTTCACAGTGCCAGAGTTTGCGCTGAATCTCCTTTTGAATGAAGAAAGAGCAATGATGTTAACAAAAGGTCAACATGTCATCCCAAAAAGAACCTTAGAATATGGATTTCAATACAAATATCCTGATATTGATGGGGCTTGTGCAGAATGTGCCCATTTATTCCAAAAAAAATAATAAGCTAAGTAAGTTAAATTATATTTTACTAATTTTATGTAGGCCTTTTTAAAACATAATTTATTTATAAAGAAAGATCTCTTCATATTTGTCCATTATTAACACAAACTTTTAAGGGAAAAACAGTTAATATACATAATTCTTGTTCTAAATAAAAGAAATTATTCATGTGAACAAAATTTCATAACAAGTTATAGTACATGTACATTGTACATAACACAAACTCAATGTTAAAGTGATCTAGTTTTGTACAGAATTTTTATTATTAAAATAATTAAAACACTATCATGTCACTTGCAAATATTATAATTTTTAAGATGTAATGGTTTAACTAAAAATATAAGTAAATTTTATTTCAAATAGTTCTTTAAGGTACTAGTTTAGTAACAATAAAAAATAAAAAATTCTAAACAATAATAAAATGAATTGTGGGTTATTCCCCTTCCTATAAATAAGTAATAAATACCTACCAATATAGTGTAGGACTCAAGTAAAAAATGCTTTAACAATTTTAAGAATACAAGCAAAGAACAGGGAATGTCACAATTTTTGTTTTGTACTGGTAACAAATCTATGTCTATGGTAATTGCATTCCCAATCACTGGTATTTACAGCGGATGTCGCTAAAAATACGTTTTATTTATACCCAAAGCAAAAAGAACTGGGAATGTCCAGGACATACAAAAGAAAGAAGAAGGATTGTCCAAAAATGTATAATAGTTAAAAGTTACTTAGATCTCAATAAAAATAATAAGTTCTAAACTTTAAATTTACTTTTTCTCATAATCTATTCATTAGTAGTACATTCCATGTTCTTTGCCTGTACCCTTAATTTAAGCCATACATTTTTAATCCACAATTTATATTAGGTACCAATAAGGATTTTTTTTAAATATTCTAGTCCTCATAATATAATTTTGTATTGTAAAGATGAATTGAATTGTCAACTAAGAACTAATGAATTTCCTAGATCCATCACTGATGAAGTAATTACTGTTGTTAAATATTTTTCATGGCTGAGATTAACAAAAATAAAGATATGACAAATATACAGCGTTTTATTAAAAAATATTGATTATGTTTTTAATGGCCGTTTTCTACTTTGATTATTTAAGATTTGATTTATTAAATCCATTAGAGATTGAATATTTAAACAGCCTTGCTTAGTACCTTTTCGATTTCGTAGTATGCTACATTAAACATTAAGCCTTAAGGCCTATGCACATGTAGGCGTTTTAACGCGCATTCTACGCTCAACAAAAGCACTGTCGAGGCGCACTTTTCACGTGTTCGTATCATCTATGAAACGTGCTTTACAAAACACATAAAGATGAACGCGTTTATAAAACACGTGTGATCGACTCGATTAAATTAAAATATAGTGTGCATAAGCCTATTAGTTGTTAAATGGTGTCACCAAAGATAAGTACTTATTTAATATTTACTTTTTAATGAAAAACGTTCACCGAATTAAAAATCACTTTAAATGTCAAATTCCATCCCTTGGGGTGGAACGTTTTCTTGAAATTCATGATGGACTATGGACATGACGAAATTATAAGGGTTGTGTAATACATTTATGCCTTTTTACTACAAAACCCTAAAAATCTATTTAGAGTTGGTGAAGATATCCCGTAATATAAGTTAGGAAACTTCGGTGTTACTCCGCCATGCCTCGGAAGTCACATAATGAGTGCACATAGTGGTTTCTGCCTTGTGTAGGTCGTGTCGGACTAAATTCATATGAAAGTGAAAGGAACAGAGTGCACTTGTGTTAGCACCCACTTGTGCCCTATAATACCAATCTCCTGCGCAGTTGGCCAGGAGCAGAGTTCAATGTTCTGAAATGGGGTCTGGAATACTTAATTTGGTAGAATAAAAAGGCGTTAATGTAACTTAAAACATTTATAATTAAAATAATTTACATATAAATACATGTAACATGTATGATCTTCGTCATCGTCATATAAGTATAATTAATATACATATGTAGATTTTATAAAAAATATTTTATATTGAGACTTTATGCATTTTCTAACTTAATTAATTTGACATTTTAGTTTGTTTAATTTATTGTCATGAAAAAAATATTAATTCTTATCTGAACTGTTATGGCACTTACGTAATGCTAAGCGTATCTTATCGATCCCGTAATTGTTTCTAATAAACGAATGTTTTATTAATATTGTGGATATATGTAGGTCTGCAAAGATTGTAGAGATACTCATAAGGACTCTTAATATTATTTTCAAGGGTTTTCAGATTTTAAGTGCTCGGCGAATTTGTCTACCAGTTTTGATATGTATTTTCGGAGAATATCTTGTCGCATGCGTCCTACGTCTAACACTTCTTCATGGTTGGCTTCATCGTTGTTGTCGTAGCTCGTGACACATTCATTTGTTACCAATGACAAAGCAAATACGTTCATGTCGCAGTGCCTGGCAGTAATTACCTAAAAATTTCAATAAGATTAGATTTCCTTAGAGGCTGATTTTAGAACTAGCACCAGTCAGATACTAGTACGTTAAGTGAATAAATTTAAGTACTGTAACGTTTAACTGTCTCGGTGGTCTAGTAGCTAGCATATACGGCTACTGATGTGGAGGTCCTAGTTTCGAGTCCCGGGTCGGGCCAAGTTTAGTTATGGAGTCTTTCTGTTGAGAAAGTCTGAGGAACAGCCCGGAGTTGCGAAGTTGGTGGTGTTACACGCCCGTGGCTTGGAGAGTGCGTAAGGCCGTCTGACCTCTCCCCGATCTCTCACTGGTCGTGTCGAATAGTCGTCCTATTAGTCCCATTGTATGAGAGTGGCAAGAATAGAGAGTGCACTTGTGTCTGCGCGCTCTATATTATCTCCTGCGCAGTTGATAAGCCTCAGTCTTAGTGAAATAAGCCGCCGTAAACGTATTGGTCAGGGGGAATCACTGTAACTTCTATGAGTATGTATATATAGGATACTTCGATCTGTATATGTACTAGACAGTAGGCGGTGTTCAGTATCAGAACAGATATCATCTATAAGAAAACTTAACTGATATATAAGGAATCATGATTACCTCATGAACAGTGGACATTCCTACAGCGTCTACTCCGACCATTTTGAGCATATTCAGTTCAGCAACAGTCTCGAAGTTAGGTCCTCCCAGACAAGTGTACACACCTTCTCTTAAAATATTATCTATATGTAATTCCTTTGCCACCTAAAAATGTTATTTCATTTAAATAGCAATTCAAAAATAATCTAGAAATGACACTGAATAGTGTATAACTACCCGATAACCTTTCACTCCAATGTGTCTAAGCGCAACTGGTATAACGAGTAGGTACCTGTACTAAGGTATTTATAGAATTAGTGATATGAAAACTGTACTATATCTATAATACTATTTAAAGATATATAGTTTATTTTTGTTTGTTTGAATGAAATTAGCATCTCTAGAACTACCAGAACTGTTAAAAAAAAATATTGTCATTTAATAGCCCATTTTTGGGGAAAGTTACAGGAGTTTTGCGACGCAATCACAGGTGCATACATAAAACGGACTTAGTTGCAAATGAACGCTATTTCAAGTATACAGATAGAAGTAATTTCTGCGCATTTTTACCTCTTTAGCAATCTTTCTGTACTCATATTTATATGCCTTGCTCATGGGTGGAAAACGTGGCCCGAATCTTTCGTCATTAGGTCCGTGAAGTGGGTTGTTGCCAGCGAAACCCATCAGGTTAATGTGGTCTTTTACAATGACGAGATCACCTATTTTATATGAAGGGTTTAGACCTCCTGCTGCGTTTGTTGCCAGTAAAGTCTTCACTCCGAGAAGCTTCATAACTCTCACTGGCAGGCAACACTGAAAAAGACAAAGATATAAGTAGTAAAAATATAAAAATATATAAATATGATAATAACATTTTTTTTGTCACATTTTAAAAACTTTCGTGTCTTACTAACTTATTCTACAATCACGTTGGCTTGGCATATTAAAATAAAATTTGTAGTTAGTAGTTACTCGTACAGACACTGCCGTCTTTTACCATGGGCACATAAGGATCACGGGGCCCATGTGCAGATAAGCAAAATTCTAAAATTATTCATTTTTTTACGATCACAATAAATGTATTGATAACTGTAATATGATTCGGATAAGTAACTCTTAGCATTCAATAATTACCTATAGTAAAATCGGCGCCAGCCGATACAAATCGAAGCACACCGATTTCGAAAATATCTGATTAGGTATCAGGTAGTAAAGGAAAACTACCAATTAGTTATTTTTTACTTTTTAGTGTTTTTGAAGTCCCTTTTTCTTAAAAACAAAGGTTTTTTAAGTATGCAATTATAACATGGCTCAATAACAATAGAGCCTCCTGAGACCGCGTTTTAGTTTTAGCACAAAACGTTATGTTGGTATTTTTACGACTTATTTAAATCTCTGAACAAGACTATCAATCATTATAAAAGTTCATCGACTGTTTCAACCTTTTTTGGGGACTATTTTTTCAATATTAAGACGTTAGTTTCAACAAATGCCGCAAAAACTTGATATGTTTTAACATTATTTATAGTGTAGATAATTACAATCACAAAAAAGATCACAAAAAATAATCGATAGATGTTTGTAATTAATTAATGTAGGTATATAAACCTTGTATGCAGTGCCGGATTAAACCTTAGCGCCGTCCCTGGGCATAGTAAAAAATGCCGCCATATTATCGAAATTCTGAATAAAATGTTGAAAGTTTCATTTCCTTTAATTATTATTTTTTTCAAAAAAGCAAAGAATTATTTGTATCTGAAATTATATTAATTTTTCAAAAAATGTACCTATTAGTTAATCTTTTTTTATTATTCATTTTTTGTGAAATAAAAAAAAATTTCGATAACGCGAAGAAAATTTTTCCCAACCTCCGTATTTTGCCGCCCCTAAAAATCTGCCGCCCTGGGCCGAGTGCCCCTAGGGTAAATCCAGTGCTGCTTGTATGCCTTAATTTTGTATATCTATATACATTTTTTTGTCTTAAAATTCTCCAACTTTCAAACAACAAACAATCTCAATCTACCTCCGTAGATTTATTATAGACTAGCATTGCCCGCGGCTCCGCCCGCGTTCAGATGACCAAAACCCAAATTCTTAGATTTTACATATTAGTATACTCTTACATTACAGTTTTTTTTATTTTTCTCAGAAATGAGATATTTTTCCGCAGTAAAATTTTTCCTATGTTGACCTGGACAACAAGTTATAGGTATACCATATTTCATAAAAATCTGTCCAGTGGTTTTTCTGCATCTAAGTAGATGCATATTTTAATCAGCAACCCTATAGAAGATCAAGGTATAATATATATGTTTTTCTCTATTTAACAGTGTTCAAAAATCGAATTTTAAAAATTATACTTGTTTATCACATTATTGTTAGTTCAAGCGTAGATCCGAGTAGGTAACGTTATCTTAAAGCGTCATTTACTCACTAGGAGGTTACTGATAACCTATGAACTGGAGATCGTTAGCTCTTATAACCCTTGCGTCATACAATCTCGATCTTTCCACACAAAGCTCAAAAACTCCAGCATAAAAAATATATATTTTTATCTATCCCCTAGCATTGTCCGCGGCTCCGCCCGCGTTAAGATGACCAAAAACCAAATAAAATAGCGCTATTCTTATTTTTTTCAAGATAAGTATAGTTTTTAATAGTTTTTGCCTTATTTAGTAAGTTACCTTGCTAAAATATATACTATATATAGTATCATAGTAGCTTAGTCTTTAGGAAATAATGTGTTTTATTAACTGATTCACTCGTTATTTTTGTGTTTATTATAATTGTACATTATATTTACCTTCCAAAGAGGGTAGCCCTCATAATAATGGAAACGTCCCTGCATGGCTACCACTGGCACTTCCCCAATGCGTCCAAACACCAATTTACCGTGGTGTCCCTCCACTGTGCTTACAGGGAAATTCGGTATCTCTTCATATGGAATATTTTCAGCTTCTGTTATGCTCTCAGCTAAAGCACCTGTAAACACGTTAAAATTTATAATATACTAGCATTGCCCGCGGCATCCGCCCGCGTTCAGATGACCAAAAAGCAAATTCTTAGGTTTTACATATTAGTATACTCTTACAATGCAGTTTTTGTATTTTTTCTCAGATATGATATATTTTCCCGCGATAAAAAGTATCCTATATGTTGACCCGGATAACCAGCTATCACCATACCAAATTTCATTAAAATCCCTCCAGTGGTTTTTCTGTGATGCGGTAACAGAAAGACAGACAGACCGACAGACAAAAGTTCTAAAAACTATAGATTCGGCCTCTGTATCGATTATAATGTCTATTTCAATAAGATTTTCCAAAAATATCTAATGTACAGATTCGGCTTAGTTACAATTTCATTATATGTACCTATAGATGTAAAACGACAAAGCGCACAATAATACAGCTATTGTACATAAAACATTTTTTTTGGGAATAAATTCGAATACTTATTTTTCTGTTTATCTCACTATTAATTATCGATTTATTATATCGATGTTTGCTATTAATTAAAAGGACAATCCATATTAATATTAATGTGAAAGTGTGTTTGTTTGTCTTTCTTTCACGTCAAAACGGAGTGACGGATTGGCGTGATGTTTTGTGTGAAGATAGTTGGAGAGCTGGAGAGTAACATAGGCTACTTTTTATCGCGGGAGATCATCTCATTCTCACGTGAAAACACGTTATAATACAATCCATAAATTTAGTTCTGATCAGAAGTACTTGAAACTTGGTATTAATGCTCTTCAATACAAATAAATAAATACGTGTTTTAACATTTTTCGAAATTCATTCTATAAGGGGGGTAAAATAGGGAATATAAATGTTTGTATGAAACCGAGGTACCTATTAGAGATTTATTTGTAGTTTAAGGGCGAGCGAAGCCGCGGGGTCTACTAGTATTAAATAACTCATTGTTTACGTATATAGTAAGATATTTGTATGAAAGCAGTAAATATCTAACAAAGCAATAAATACCCTCTTTCCAATACGAACCCAGCCCAGAGCCGCATATAACGCCAATTATAGGTCTCACGGAAGTTTTAGCCAGGAGGAAGTTCGCAGTTTCAACTAGCATTTCATATGAGTACCTGCAAAACATTTAATGAGACAAGGCTAAGTAATTGTAGGTTATTTTCTATATATAGATCAAAAACATAGGAAATACATGCTTTTAATAATAGCACTGAGGCTGCAAAAGAGTGTGCCTATACCTAACTGTTATTTTTAACAAAAACATACGCAAACTTTCCACTTAGAGCGGTGTCTTTTTTAATTTTAAATATGGAGAGATACATATCTCTGGAAGTATATTGTAGGTACTAATTAAAGAAATAATATAAAAATCAATTCACAATTGGCGAAGATCCGAGATGTCGATTAAAAAAGTAAACACATCAGTTTTATTGCAAGAAACTAAAACTAATCGAAGTAATTTAAAAAAAAATACTTATGATAATTTTAAGTAAAACTATCTTTTCGGATTTTATCGCGGATTTATTTGGATTTTTGGTTCCCGACGTTTCAAATGCTTTACAGCTATCATGGTCACGGGAGAGACTGAGGTGTTAGATGTCTCGGAGGTATAGTTGATACAGATAGCCTATCCACAAATAACAAAATGAAAATTGCACCAATTACCTCACAATATTTTTTAACTTTAAAAAATTGCACCAATTACCTTACTATATTTTTTTTAACTTTTAGCAAGACTTTGAATTTTTACAAGACTTTGAACTTGTTTGTTTGCCCTTTTTTCACATCGAAACAGAGTGAGTAATTGGCGTGATTTTTTGTGTGGAGATAGTTGAAGGGCTGAAGAATGACATAGGCTATTTTTCCCGCGGGAGAATATCTCATTTCCACGGGAAAACACCTTATAATACAACCTATAACAATTCATCATACTTATGTGTATAGATAGATATACATATATAATAGTCTATCTATATTCTATTCCATACTAACGATTAAAACGACTCGCCCTCCCTTCGCTCGGGTACGTCCCTAGGTGCGTTTTAACGGTTGGTATGGAATAGATAAACAGAAAAGTAGGTAAGTACCTACTTTAAAAAAATATATCCCTTATGTGATAAATGATTGATACCCCATAACTTCTACCCTTCTCGCCCCCTTAAGGGATGATTTCCGGAATAAAAACTCCATAACAAATTTTATCTAAATCGATTTAGCGGATTAAACGTAAATAAGTAACAGACACAGTTAATTTCGCATTTATAACATTAGTATGGATAGCTAATAACTTTTAGAACAGATGAGAAAAGACATTAAAAAACACTTATTACATAGGTAGATAATTAGTTATTTGTATCCATTTCTGACGTCGTTATTAATGTTATTAATATAAATCTTGACCTATATGCTATGTTATATTGCAATAAGTTATTAAGATTAGTCAAGGATAGCGGACCTTGAAAGTTGAAACCAAGCATCGAAAGGTAATATTATCTATACCTACAGTAAATTCCTTTCTTCATTAAGTATCATTTATTATATGCAAATAAAATTTACAATTTGAATGAAACCGTAACGGGGTCATTTTGTGATTTGCATTTTACCCGATTTACAAAAGGAGGAGGTTTTCGTATTTCGTGTGTATGTTTTCTGGCGTTTGTTACGCATTGTTTACGCTGATTATGGCCTGATTTGATAACACCTAGTAATAGTAATCATTTTGAATTTATTATATTTCGTGGATATTTTTGCTATTAAAAGTCTATCTCTTTATGATTTAATCGCGCATAACTCAATTATCAAACGTATAAGATAAAGATAGGTACACTTATTCCGTGGTAAGTTATACTTACTCGTAGTACCTATGTAGTATCTATCTTACGAAATATTTAAAACTAGCGGCTTACCCTCGCTTCGTTCGGGTTCGCCTCTCGAAAAGCACAAACAGATCTATCCCACGGGAACCATACATTTTGCCGGGATAAAAAGTAACCTGTTATTTGACCGGCAATATAAGGCATATCATCAGTATGCCAAATTTTACTATATTAGGTGCTTACGTTTTTGTGTACTACGCTGTATAAGCTACGACAGTTTTTTAACTATCCCATGGGAACTCTTAAATTTTCCGGGATAAAAAGTACTTATCTAAAATGTTGACTGGGGATATAAAGTACCAACTATGCAAAATTTCATTTAAATCGGTCCAACAGTTTCGAAGATTAGCCCGTACAAACAGACAGAGAAACAAAAACATAGAAAAATTAGATTTGTTCTATTTTTCTTCTTACATGCATCCCCCAGAACCGGTTTTTAGTTTTTTTTCTATGTACAGACATTCGATCTCTGCAGACTACAGTTTTATTATATGTATAGATTAGTTTTTGTCCGCGACTCTGCTTGCATAGTGAGGAGGACGGGGATAAAAGTTTACCGTCCCCATGATGCAATCTATGTCTCTGTACATCAAAATCTGTTCAGCGTTTTAAGCGTAAAAAAATAACAAAAAAACTAATTTCACATGTAAAATATTAGTATGCTCGAACTGATATAAATAAGGGCAAGCCGCACCATATTAATTACCTATTATCTCCTTATCATTTGAAACAATTTGAAGAAGTATAAAATATAAAAATTCAACGAAGGTACGAATAACAAACGAAAACTTGTGTAGATAAAATTAATATACGAATATACCTACCTATAGAACAGGTAGATACATAGTAAAAACTTAACGAGTTATCGTCACAACTCACACGTGTCATTGGCCGAAACCGATCTTGCAAGTTAATACATTGAATTCTCTATCTCTAGGTTATTGATATATTAATTGGCTTGATCATTAAAAGACCTTCATAGTCGGTAATTATAATGAACGATAAACTCTCTCTCTGTGGGGTAAAGCTATTTGCTATATTAGGAAAAAATATCTTATCACTGCCATAAATAAGGTTAAAATATGTTAACTTATTCGTTATATAATTTTTTGACATTATAAGCTAAGCGAGTAGTAACAAGAACGATTTTATGTTGACCTTTGCCAAGTCTTTTACTTTCCATTAAAAGTTCTTTTAAAATCGGAATTGCACATTGGAGGATCATTATTTAAATGTAATTGCCACAAATATACAGGTTTTATACTTATTTTAAAGATAGAAACTAGATAACGGATATCTGAATACGATATAAAATATTTCTCATTAGTTCCGCGCTTGCGGAATGCTGCCAATTACCTACTTCTTGCACGCATCTTGCTATTATTTATCTAATAATTTTTGAATAGAACTCTCTAGGCGCCTACTAACTATATCATTAGATATTTTCAATTGAAACTATATTATAAAACTAATAAATAAATCAATATAATTACTGGTCCATACTAAACCCTTACCTGCTTCCATTTCCATTTTCGGTTTCCACTTCGGGAAGCACCTTCTTTGCAGGAGATGGGGCCTTATTCCCACTTAAAACATCGACATTGATTGGAGACATCACTTCACAATTTGGTAAAAATGTATGGTTAAAAAAATAAATATAATTGAATAAGACTTTAGTCGTCAGTAGCACAGCGTAAAATGCGATAAATTAGACTCTCGGACAGTTTTATACGGCCTGTTGGTCGGGCCTGCAAGTAATAACAACTCGCTTAAATTTAAATAACTTCTTATGATTTTCTCGTCTTATCACTAAATGGTCATTATGTTTACGATCGATATGTCATCATTCTGTCCAAAACAAATGAACCAATTCATAAATCAGATTTCAATATAATATTTGTTATCATGCAATGTTTTTATTGATATAATTATTAAGTAAATTAAAAATTAGGGAAGAGTTGAAATATTTTTATACCAGACTATTTAGTTTTATGTATGATTTAAATAAAAACTAAGTAAAAATAGATTATATTTATAGAAGAACAAATATTGCACAATAATATTCTTTCAATATTATTGTGCAATATTTGTCCTAAATATCCATTCGAGTTATTAGGTATAGATATATTTAATTCTCTTCCTAATGTACTAGATTAATTCACGTAACTTTGAAATAAGTTTTGAAATATTATGTTTATATTTCCATTTTCCATTGATTAAAAATGAAAAATATTAACTTTGCGTCCAAAGAGAATTAAAAATAATATAAAAGAGATAAATAATTATAAAATTACACTATATTTAGAAAAATGTTAGTAAAATATCTGCAGCTTAAAATTTAAGCCTTAAATAATCGCGTACCTATCTAGTATCGAGTATATTATAGACTACACGGTTAATAGTTGGTCTGGAGCTAGCAGGTATGCCGTATGGGTATCTATCTATAGATAAGAAAGTCAATAAAATATCACCTCACAGCACGGATTACATCACTAAATCAATGTGAAAAGATAAAGTTTATATTTAGACTAGATGTACAATGATATGATAAATTCTATATCCCTTACTTGGGAAATGATTGACACCCCATACAAAGTTCCACTCCCCTTTTCACCCCCTTAAGGGATGATTTCCGGGGTAAAACTATCCTATGTTCTTCCCAGGGTCTCAAACTATCTCCATACCACGTCTACATCGGTTCTGCAGATTAAGCGTGAATTAAGGTAACAAACAGACAGAGTTACTTTCGCATTTATAATATTAGTATGGATTACAAAGTAACGAATATTTCCTAATATTATTAGATAGGTACTTCACAAGTAATAAAATTTTACTGTCCTACCCCACAACAATCGGCAACCTTTTTCTCTCTGAGCATGTACCTATTCGTGAATGTGACCGATGTAATTATTAAAAATAGTCCACATAATTATATTTCTACTTATAACATTTTACGAGGATTTACACATACCTACTATGTACTAACATTTTTTTGAATAGTACAGCACCTTTATCCACAGTCCGGTATGAACTCATTATTACGGAATATTGACTGCAAATAGAAAAATATAGGTACACATCCTATATACGTATATAGGTATAAAAACCTAACAACCCATAAAAAACCTAACATCTCGCAACTCTACATCTATATATATAAAAGAAAGTCGTGTTAGTTACTTCGCTTATAACTCAAGAACGGCTGAACCGATTTAGCTGAAAATTGGCAGGGAGGTAGTTTAGAGCCAGGAGAAGGACATAGGATACTTTTTATCCCGTTCGACCGCGTTCCAATTTTTATGATATTTTAATTTTTGGATTTCTCTTAGTCCGGAATAGGTAAGTATTAAAACATATAATTAAAATGTGAGAAAGAAAGATTTTTTCTTTTTATATCTATTTAAAACGTACCTAGCGACGAACCCGAGCGAAGCGAGGGTGAGCCGCTAGTATTTGATAAAGCTAGATACTTAAAATAATGACTCAACTGGTTTTGATGGACAAATCACGGACAAAATTTAAATTATACTTATAGCTTCGATTCGTTCTTTAAAAGAAATAAAATGATAGAATTTGTTTGAATAAACGATACTTCAATGTCTTTTAAATCTTAAGAAATCTAAATTATCTATACCTATAATAATACAGGAAATATAATAATATAGGAAAACACATCTTCCGGTGAAACCACATCATATTTTAACGAAACCTTTCACGAGCATCTTGAATTTAGTATTAAGCGACCTGTCTCTTTTTTTTCCTATCGCAATAAATATTTATTACATGTATTTAAAACGTACCTAGGGACGCACCCGAGCGAAGCGAGGTTAAGTCGCTAGCTAGTTAATTAATCTATAAATAATAAAACTAGAGGTGGAATGACTGTACATAGAAAAAATGCTAAAAATAGAGTCAGGGGGATGTAAGAAGAGACAGAACAAATCCAGATTTTTTCAATTTTTTTGTTTCTCTGTCTGTTTGTCTGTTTGTACAGGCTAATAAATTTTGTATAGTGGTACCTTATATCCCCAGCATTTTAGATACTTTTCATACCGGAAAATTAAAGAGTTCCCGTGGGATATTTAAAAAACTATTACTTATACAGCTTAGTACACATACACTACTGATTGAATTTTAATGAAACTTTACAATAATATAATTCATTCATCAGAATAACAAATAGGCTATTTTTTATCCCGGAATTATGTACGGTTCCTGCGGGATAGATTTATATTTCTGTGTGTCGAGGCGAACCCGAACAAAGCAAGGGTGAGCCGCTAGTGTATATATAAAATTGTAACTAAGCGAATCCGTATATTAAATATTTTTTGGAAAATGTTATTGAAATAGAATTATTATCGATACAGAGGCCGAATCTATAGTTTTTTAGAATTTTCGTCTGTCTGTCTGTCTGTGGCCGTAACACGGAAAAACCACTGAAAGGATTTTGATAAAATTTGGTATGTTGAGTGATTGATGAATGTAGTATAATTTATTTTAATAACAAGTGCATCGATTTTGTTCCTGATTGTCAATTATTAATAATTTAATTAAAAATACTAGCGGGCACATTTTAATAGGATACCTGACCAAAACATTTTGCCCCTTTTATTATTGTTTTATATAAAAAAATTGATTTTGATTAAATACTCGATGAACATAGCAATCTTGCATCTTAGGCCATAATACGATATTCTTATGTAATTATACAGGGTGGAACAAATCGATGGAATCGTGGAAATTACCTGAACCCGGAGTAGAACTAAATAAAAATGCTAAAAAGAATACCGTCACTATTTTGTCGAATTAATCGATAGGGTGGGTCTATTGGAAGTGTAAAATCTCTACAACAAACATTGCGTCTTAAAATTAAAGAAAACGATGAAATCTTACAAATTATAGATATCGACTCTAACATCGTGGAACCAATGGGCTGGACATGGAAGTCTATGGAAGAAGCCTTAAATACTCAAAATATCAAGTTTCACTCAAAAAAGAACATTATTTAATTTTTGTAAATAAGATTAACTGCATTAATTTTTTTTCAAAGAGGTGTATATACAAGTTTTAAGTTTAGTTTTTTGAAAAAATATTTGCAGTTACTATTATCTTTAAAATTAAAAAATGTTTCCTTTGAGGAAATCTTGATAGCTTCAATATTTAATATTTTTCTTCTATGTCCCATCGATTTGTTCCATCCTTTATATATGAAGGCGCTTTAACAATTAGCGATTTTATCTTTAAGCGTGTAAAAATATGAATACAATTTTTAGTTGCATTCTATTCTTGTAGACGAAACCATGTGGGCCTTAATTCTCTTCATTTTATTTTTAATTATTTTGAAAGAACTAATTCAAAAGCCACCTGCGTATCCTCCAGGTAAAATAATAATTTTAATTATTTTTATCAACACAGCACTTCTTTAAATAACCTATTTTAATATTGTAGGCCCACCTTTGATACCATTCATTGGGAATTTATTATCAGTATGGATAAATTTAAGAAAGTTAAAAAATCATCATATTTTATGGCAAAATTGGTCGCAAAAATATGGAAACATACTCGGATTACGATTAGGTTTCGTTAATGTGGTCATCGTTTTCGGTAAAGATTTAATTAGAGAAGTATCTACTAGAGAGGTTTTTGATGGAAGGCCAAATGGATTATTCTATTTAATGAGATCATTTGGAAAAAAGCTTGGTAAGTAATACGAAAGTACCTGTATATTATGTAAACTTTAGTCACTCATAAACTTTCGCATTTATTATATAACAGTGGCCCCCTAAAAATGTATTTAAGGACGACCTTTATGTATTTTTTTAATTTTTATTATATAACTTGATCCTGCAATATTGCCTATGTAAAAAAATAATACCCAGGCTCACAAACGCGCGCGCGCACACACACACACACACACACACACACACATACACAGACACACATTACACTCATTACACAAATACTTCTTACAGTCATGCATTACACATTTTAAGAGAGAGGAATGACATATTTAGTAATATTAATTAATATCTTTAATTAATATGTAATTCTTTATTTTTTTTGGTAATACACTCGCGTGCAACTGAATCGACTCAAGCCGTATGTATATTGGTATAAAAGTTCGAGTTTTAGGAAAATGCCTTATCCGATTTTCTTGTTTTTTTTTGTTTGAAAGCCTAATCTTTTCTCCTAAAAATGCTATCATAATGAGAAAAATCGGTTGAGTGTTTATTGATAAAATTTAATTTGACAGAAATGTATAAAAATTAAGAAAAATGAAAACAACAACATAATGAATAAAAAAAATTATTTTTGATAAAAGTAAAGAAAATTAACATTTTTAATACTTTGTATTGCCTCCCCTAGCTTTTATAACGGCTTGCATGCGATTTTTCATTGATTTTATCAATTTTTTGATAAAATCTTGAGGTATCGTATTCCATTCTTCCTTTAACGCAGTTTTGAGCTCGACGACGCTTGATAGAGCCGTATCTCTAGCTCGCACCCTCCGTTTGAGCTCGTGCCATAAATGCTCAATACAATTCAGATCAGGACTGAGGGCTGGCCACATCATCGTCTCAATTTACACCTCTTGAAGAAACTGGCGAGTAACACTTGCTGTATGGCACCGAGCATTATCATGCATCAATAGAAAATCTTCTACTATGTACCCTGCATAAGGTACAACATAATCGAGGAGAATGTTTTCCACGTACTTTTGAGCTGTTAGACCACCACTACGACCACCACCAGGCACGAAAACAAGCTCGGTCTTCCCTTCATATGATATTCCAGCCCACATCATGACTGAACCACCGCCATATGATACTATTTCAGGGAAACAGCATTGCGAGAACCGTTCCCCTGGACGACTGTATAGTCGGTCTCTTCTAACGTTGCCATGGAGGCACATTCTGCTCTCGTCAGTGAACAGGATGGAGCTCCATTACTATAGTATAGTCCAATTGAGGTGTTCACGAGCAAATTGAAGTCGGGCTTGACGGTGAGCTGCGCTCAGTTTCGGGCCTCTGGCTGCCCGTTTAGGAGTTAAATTGGCTTTCTTCAGGCGTCTTCTAATTGTCCACCGACTGACAGCCACTCCTCGAACCCTTCTGAGCTCCTGTTGCACATCAACGCACGTGAGATGACAATTTCTCAACGAAGTTGAGACAATAAAGCGGTCGTCCGTCTCAAATGTGCTCCGGTGTCTATTGGTTTGTGGTCTCCGAACGAAGCCACCAGTCTCTTGAAACCTTCTGTATACTCGTGAAACAGCGGATTGGCTCATGTTAAGTTCACGAGCGACTTGCCGTTGATTATGGCCCGCTTGCAACAAAGCTACAACTTGGACCGCTGCTTCTAAGGTAGTGTCCATTGGATCGCGATTAAAATACTGGGAGCTTAAGAAGATGTGTACCTGTCAACGTCTGACGAGTGACTGATAAGAAATATGGGTCACGTGAGCTTTTATACATGATTTAGTCTCGCAACACGTGGGTACCGCAACGAGTAATTTCTGTAACGCTCATGTTTGACCGTATTTTTTTAAAAAAAATTGTCATTGTTTATTTGAATATTGCTATATTTATGAAAAAAATATATATGTCTTTCGAATAAAAAAACTTTTACAAAAATCGGATAAGTCATTTTCCGAAAAATCAAACTTATATACCAATATAAGGCTTGAGTCGATTCAGTTGCACGCGAGTGTATTTATGTCACCTTACCGTGGGGATATGGCGCTGATAGCTGTTGCACAGGTCTCCTAGTTCGGCTACAGATGCTATGTTTTAAATATTTGTATGTACCATATTTAGTAAGTGTTAAGCAAATATCTGGATGTACTTACTACCTTTTAAATAAAACTATCTTTTCGGATTTTTTCGCGAATTTATTTTGATTTTCAGATAAAAAATAAATGATAGTTATTTTCGCATGCAGCTGAGTTCTACAGTTTCTGAGAATTTTTAGAAATAGTTCTGGCGTTTTTACCTTAAAAAAAAGTGAATTGACTTAATGATCTGCTAACTTCCCGTAGCAGATCATTTTGCAGCAAATCAAAAACAAATGTGAGTTCTTCTCGCAAGCAGCTGAGTTCTATAGAAAAGAACTGACATTTATTTTTGATCTGCTGGGCAATGATCTGATAAGTTCACTGATATGACTTACCCGAGCGAAGCGAGGGTACGTCCCTAGGTGCTTTATAATTTTTTAAAGCGAAACCTTAATTTTATTCTAAAATAAAAGTAAGAATTTTAAGAATTGGTTTTGTTGTTGTAAGTACCGTATATAATTTTATATGCGTATAGTAAAAAACTGTTACTTTGGCATTACAAACAGACACTTCTGTATTTATTTGTATAGATATATTTTAGTTATAAAAATAATATAGACATTATTTTATTTATTTATTAGAATTACCAACAAAAGTTACAATAAATTACATAGTTTCATTACTTTAAAAACATGATGATTGCACTTTTAATTACAGGTAATTACAATATTCTATTATTTTGTACAACATTAACATCTCAAAAGAAAAATAAAAATATAATTTACAATTACACGCAGTTAATACGTTTCTGTGACCAATAAAATATTACAATTAATTACAGAAATAAATTATATTATTGAGATAAGATGTTCTCCTGACCGATTCCGGCCACGGCGGCCAATCTCATTTAGATGAGCCAACTGCGCAGGAGATATTATAGTGCACAAGTGTACGCGCAGACACAACGTGCACTCTCTGTTCCTGTTACTCTCATACTCCGGTAGGACGATTACTCGACACGACCGGTGAGAGTTAAGGCGCAGGACCGACGGCTTTCCCCCCCTAACGTGCGTTCACCTTGTCGTGGTGGGGGGGCTCAGTAGTGCCCGGCAACCCAACCGGGCGCGAAGCCAAGAAACGCACAGACAGGGAGGTGGCCCACTTCGGTGGGCGGTGGGAGGTGGCCCTCTTCGGAGGGTGGTGTACCATGCGGGTTGCTCCTGGTACTTCTCTGATAGCAGAGTGGAGCTTGGAGCAAACCCCCGGTTGGTGTGGTCTGCTTCGGCAGACCTGCCGTCGGGGCGTCGTAGTTGAATGCGTAAGCGATCCTGCGACGCCCCATTAAGACGGGGGAAGGCTTTGTTGGGTTTTAGTGGGTAGTACTGGCTTTGCCGGTGAGTCCCACACCTCGTGCGTAAATGCATTTCCCAACGTTAAAAAAAAAAACAAAAAAAGGATCGACGGCTTTACGTGCTCTCCGAGGCATGGGGGTGAAACACCGCCAACTTCCCAACTCCGGGCTGTTAATGAGGCTTACTATACAGAAAGACTCAATAACTAAACTTGGCCCGACCCGGGACTCGAACCCAGGACCTCCGGGTGTGCAGCCGTACATGCTAGCCACTACACCACCGTGGCAGTTAAATTATTATATTGAGCAGTTAAATTATATTATTATGAATATAATATACATATAGAGCGATACAATGAATATGATTTATATGATAGAATAAAGAAAAAGTACGAAAAAGTCATTACAGTCATTTTAGTATACTTGAAATTTTATTTTTAAGAGAGCCCGCGCACGCGCTGCGGCAGCCAGGCTGCGGGAGCCGTCAGTACGCGCCTGGACAAGTGTAGGCGCATGTATGTGGCTGCCGTCAGTCTCCGCGCACTTGGCTGTAGCAGCCAGATGTATTACCATATGTAGGGAATAAATAATATGAAAAATAAACACTATTTTTACCCGACGCGCCAGAAAGACGTCGACGAGAGCCGGAACAAACTTGTGTCTGAAGTCGAATCTTTGTTAACCAAAGTCTCGGATTGGGGTCGACTAAACTTAGTCCAATTCAACCCCAAAAAGACACAAGTTTGCGCGTTAACCGCTAAAAAGCGCCATTTATCGTAGCTCCTCAATTTGAGGACACTCCTCTGTCTCCCACAGCCAGTATCGGAATACTTGGCGTCGACATCTCGAGCAACGTCCAGTTCCGTGGTCAATTGAAAGGTAAGGCCAAACTGGCCTCAAAGAAGCTTGGTGTGCTCAGCAAGGCGAGACAGTACTTCACGTCGCGTCAGCGTCAGATTCTTTATAAGGCACAAATTCGGCCCCACATGGAGTACTGTTCTCATCTTTGGGCGGGAGCTCCCCAGTACCAGCTACTTCCATTAGACCGCATTCAACGTAGGGCGGCTCGAGTTATCGACGATCAAGCTCTCTCCGATCGGCTTGATCCTTAGCTGGTGTTTTAACAAAACTATACTAAATTTTGTAAATATCAACTTAATTTTTTAAATTATATTTTAAACTAATGAATAAACAAGATTAGACTATGAATGAATTTCATTTCTTTCTGTAATTACCTTAAAATCAATTTTTTCAGCAAAATTCAATAAATTTAACTCCAAAATCGATCAAAAACTTATTAGTTTATTTTATTAAATATCGATAAATTTCAAAAAATAATAACATGAATAGATTCTACGGCAAGAAAAAAAGCATTTATTCACAACTCGTCAAATTGCAAAGTTGGAATGTTTACGGCGACATTGTATAAAAAATAAGCGTCAAATTAAAAACTTAAGGATACTATCTTTTTCGTTTTTTTCCGAAAAATAAATTGGTGTAATCAGTTTATAAAAATTTGGCCAATAAAGTACACTTCTTTTAATTAAAAAATTATCGATTTCTCCAATTTTTAATATTTTTAAGGGTGTTTTTACAGGACTACTATACAATGTTTTTATTTTGAATAGAATGAGCACTATTTGAAAATTGAACGAATTTTTTTTAAATGTAAACGTCCTATTGAACTTGGGAGTGATTTTGAGCCTTTCGAGACTATAAAATATACTTTTCCCGGAAATGGCTAAACATTTCAGTTTCAATTTTTTTTAATTTATTAAATGTATTTCGAAGATTACAATCCAGTTACATGAAAATCAAAAGATTATTCTAGAAATTAAAAATTAATAACCAAGAAAAAGTTAAAATCCAATTTTTCTGCAAATATCTTGAAAACTTTGAGGTTATTATAAAAAGTGTTATTCATAAAAGTTTTAGATTTTTACTAGACCTACAACTTTTGTGGAAAACATTTTCAGATAGAACTTCACAGTAAGCCGGAAATTGAAAAAAACTATTTAAACGCTTTGCGTCCCATACCTCGAGGGTTGCTGGGCATCGGGGGCACTTTACGAATTTTTATTCCTTATGTACCTGCTAGCAGCATTTTAAAATCACAAAACTTGAGGTTTCAATAAAAAAAAAACTCTTAAAAATAAAACGGATTCAGTTTTAAATAAAACTATCTTTTCGGATTATTTCGCGGATTTATTTTGATTTTTACAGTCTGTAACAAATATACCTTCAAGACATGTAACACCTCAGTCTCTCCCGTGACCATGGATGCTGTAAAGCATTCGAAACGTCGGGAAACAAAAATCAAAATAAATACGCGAAATAATCCGAAAAGATAGTTTTATTTAAAATGTCAAACATTCGCGTAGATCTAAGAAAGTATTATGAAAACGGATTTCGATTGGTCTAGTAAGCAACATTCTAATTTATTTTTAGATATACTTTCGATTTACTTGAATTTTAACAATTTGAATGATATTTTAACTCAAATATTAGAAAATAAAAATTCGAAGGTTCTTAACTGAAATTTAAACTGGTTCAACGCGTAGTACGATCTTTCGGCAACATTAGACCAACATGTTCGTTAGAATAGTGTTGAAAATAGTTTTTTGCATTAAGTTACAGATTATTAGTAGTGTGATGTCGGTAAAAATGAAGAATCACAAACTTAACAATTAGATATTACAACACAATTTGGTAATAAAAAATGCTTAATAATCATATATATGTCCGACACGCGATTCACTTATTTCAAAGAGTCAATTTTTTTTAATTTTTTTTTGTAGTCCTCAGTCCTCACATCATTTTGTACACCACAACAGAACACTTACATAAAAACTCTTATATTGATATGTATACTGATTTTATCACCAAGATAAAGTTTACACAGTTTTTAGGACTCATTAACCAATAGTCGGTTAATATTGATGACACGGTATTTAAAACCTATTTAAAAAATACTAGGAGCCGATGTCTATGTTCAAGGGCGCTGCGTTAGTTTAGCACAATTAACAATATTAACAATGAAAATATTTTACAGGCATAGTATTTAATGATGGGCCAACTTGGAACAAAACGAGGCGTATGGTATTGAAATGCCTAAAAAATTGCGGCTACAGTTTACGTAGTATGGAAAATACTATAAGTATCGAATGTAAGGCCCTTGTAGAGTTGCGAATGGCGGACGAAGGGAAACCTGTGATAGTAAATCATATGTTTGATGTTTCAGTTGTTAACATTTTATGGAAACTAGTTGCTGGGAAAAGGTAATTCCTACTATTTTTTTATTATAACGACTAAATTAAAATACCAATATATATATTTTATGAATGTTGTAGATATGACTTAAAAGACAAACAATTACGAGTTCTTTGTGACCTTATTACTAGAACTTTCAAAGTAGGGGACATGAGCGGTGGTCTTTTAAATTTTTTACCATTCCTTCGACATATTATACCAAATTTGATTGGATATACTGAACTGGAAGTAATTCATAAACAAATATACGAGTTCTTAAACGTAAGTAAGAATTTCGAATTAATTTTCATAATATTAATATTTCATTTATGTATGTAGATTTTAGGTATAAACTTATTCTTTCACTTATTCTTCTGTTCTATATCTTTACAGATACGTATACATTTATAACCAAAAGAACTATAATGACCTTTAATATATATACAATATAGTATATTGTATACAACAATACAAAAATAGTTTGCATTGTGGTTTAAAATTATTATAAAAACTTAAAAAAAAGAGAAAATAACCGACTTCCAGGCATTAAAATGTAAAAAATAACTAAACGGGGGTTTTCATTTAGAATAGATATGTACCAAAATAGTTATTTTCGAAGTCGGTGCCAGCCGATGCAAAGAAAATCCATACTTCCATACTAATATTATAAATATGAAAGTGTGTTTGTTTGTTTGTTTGTCCTTCTTTTATGTAGAAACGGACGACGTGAATTTTTATGTAGAGATATTTAGAGGGCTAGAGAGTAACGTAGGCTACTTTTAACTGCGGAAGATTATCTCATTCCCACGGGAAAACACTTGAAACTTGGTATTAATGCTCTTCAATAGAATTAAATAAATACGTGTTTTAGTATTTTAATTTATTCAATAAATACGTGTTTTAGTAATTATTTAATTACTACGTTACTAAATACGTTTTTTAGAAATTCATGCCATGAGGGAGTACAATAGAGGATGCAAGTTTGTATGAAACCTATCTATCTAGTGTTTTGTAGTTTTAGCGCGAGCGAAGCCGCGGGTTCTGCTAGTCTAATGTATGTATATCAATAGGTAAAATACATCACAAGTTTATGTATAATATTTTAACTACAACAACAAATAAAAACAATTAATTTTCATAAAATTTAATAAATTTTAAATATATATAAATTCCGGGATGAAAAGTATCTAAAATATTGACCGTGGATATAAGGTACCACCATACAAAATGTCATTTAAATCGGTCCAACAGTTTCGGAGATTAGCCCGTACAAACAGACAAACAGATAAACAGACAGACAGAGAAACAAAAAATTTGCAAAAAATCTGAATTTGTTCTATTTCTCTTCTTACATCCCCTGACTCGGTTCTTAGCATTTGTTTTCTATGTACAGACATTCGACCTCTACACACTCTCTGAAAACCCCCGCTTAGTGATTTTTTACATTTTAGTGGTGCCTGGATTTCGGTTTTAATTTTTTTTTAAGTTTTTATTTTTTCATTTTTAGTGTAGACGTAATAAGCAGATAATTTGTAAAAAGAAAGTTTTTTAATAACATATTCGACTGAGCAATTTATTTTAAAAAATATTTATTGTTGATTTTTTAAAAACCTAAAATTTAAAGGAAAGTGAAGTGAAAAAGTGAAACTGGAAAATATACCCTTCGAAACAAAAAAAATCTAAATCGGTTCAGGCGTCTTCGAGTAATCGGTGAACATGCATATAAAAAAAGATTCCGGCGAATGAGAACCTCTTCCTTTTTGGAAGTCGGTTAAAACAAAAGTAATTTAATAAAAGAAACCCGTATTAAGTTATGCGGATTTTGCTTTTCGGTGTCTATATAAAATCAAGAAAAACTAGTCATAAACATATTAAATGGTATTTATTTATCGGTTCTCATGATCTGCATAGATCTAGATAGGTACCTATTATTAAAAGCATGACCTGTCTTGCCATTACAGCACTTTTTTAACACAGTTATCTACAACATGTCCAAATCACTATTTAGCAGGGTGTTAATAGCTTGAAATCAACATTTCTTAAGAAATTTTTACTCAAGCAAATGGTAATACGAATATTATATTACAAAATAAAATGTCGATCATTTATTGCTAATTCTGTTCACTGATTCACGCTGTATATATATTCCACAAAGGCAATTGTGACCGCCGCCTTTATAAGTCCACATTTTAACAAGCAATAATCTGGAGCATACGCGGCCAATTGAAATGAATCTTTTGTATGTTTGTCAATTGTCGTTCTACTATCAGCTGTTAGCTGTAATTATAAGATGTCTTATATAAGAAACCAAGGACGTCCATAATGTATTCAGAGTTTTTAAGCGTTCTACTACTGGGGGCACGGGAGGCCCCTGGAAAGATTCTCTGAGACATTGAGGTTTCTTTCACTGTATCGGCAACACAGCGCCTACAATAGCTCATCAAAATTTCTTCGGAACAAATATTTTATCATTAAATATAAACAAACATTCAACATTACGAATATGTGTCTATTATTTGTTAAGCTTGTTCTTCCCCAGGTGTACGGTAATAGACCTACACATATGAGTTATGCCTGTCGTACTTAAAGCTTCTTAATCTGGAATTATCCAGTACAACTTGCTGATCACCTATTTGAAATATATTAATGATAATCTCAGAAACAAAGCACCAACATTTGTTCGTAATCGGACCTATTGTATAAGAATGTCTCTTCTAACATTTACGAAGACGACGACGTTATAAAGAGATACAATTAACGGATAAACATAAATGTATTTTTATATATTTTGTGAAATGACAGACGTTGTCCTATCCTAATTTCAATTAATTTATTTGCTATCTTTGAGGTTGTATAAAATTTGTATGGTAAAAATTACTTTTAGTTTCACTCTAATTTTCCAAGGCAACTTTTCCAATTTTTTTCCATAAAAACCTAATTCATACTATGATGAACATTTAACAAAACAGCCAAATCAGACAAAATGCGCTAACGAATGCATAGCATTTTATTATAGTTTTTATAAGTCAATTTGGATCATAATAATATTATAGTTACCTAAAGTGAAAATATATAACACGTGTAATACTTTATCCTTTATCGACATTTTTATTTATTTTGCTCTACTCGTAGTTTTCTTTTAAATACTTGCTGTATCTGCATTTGTAATGTGAGTCTTGCTTCATTTTCACACAAAAAATATTCATGGCCAAGTATTTTTATGCAAATTTTCAATCTGATACGAAATTTAGTATGTGCATACATAATAGTATTTATGCTCCAAATGGAAATTTCAGAATATATTAAAGGAACATCAAGCTACAATAGATGTTAAGAATCCAAGAGATGTAATCGATATGCTATTAATAGAAATGATGGATCAACAAAAAGAAACCTGTAGGTATATACCATATTTAGTACTTACGTAGTACTTTTGTTAACTAAGATTAATGTACAGGGTGGAACAAATCGATGGGACATGGAGCAAAAGTACCCATCTTAAATAATGATTTATCCAGCTTTACTCAAAGGAAACATCTTTATTTTTTAAAATAATAGTACCTAACTGCATTTTTTTAAATCTTCCCGGAACCGGGAATCGAACCAAATAAAAATGCAAAAAAGTCACTACACACCGTCACTATTTTATCGAATTAATCGATAGGGTCTATGAAATTGATAAAATCTCTCGAATAAACATTGTGTCTTAGAATTGAAGAAAACAAGAAAACTTACGAATTATACATATCGACTCAAAATCGAGGAACAAACGCACAGGACATGGAAGAAAAGTGTTTAAACACAGAAAATATTAAGTTTCACTCAAAGGAAACATTTTTATGAGATTAATATTTTTTTAAAAGAGGTGACCTGAACCGGTAATCGAACTAACCGAATATGCAAAAAGGTAAACCGTCACTATTTTATTGAATTAATGGATAGAGTCTATCGTAAAGATGCAATGTCTCGAACGATAAATGTATGATACTTTGACTCCTTTGAGTAAATCTTGATAACTTCAATATTTAAATTACTTTTATTCCATGTCCCATCGATTGGTTTCATATATATACCAAAAATAAACTTATAAATTTTTTTTTTCAGTTTCCTATGAAGAACTCCAAGTGATTTGTCTCGATTTGCTTGAAGCAGGTATAGAAACAGTCAGTAATACAGCAGTATTCATGTTACTTTACATAGTACGAAATCAGGAGATACAGAAAAAGTTACAGAGGGAAATTGATACGGAAATCGGACACTCTCGACAACCTACTCTTAATGATCGATCCAGGTACGATTCATATAATCTCGCACATATATACAAACTATATAGAGAACCGTGCGTCATGGTTTTGTTGATTTTATCTCATGTTGTACATACAGCAAAGGTCGATCTTTGTTTACGTATAGTAATAATACTTTTTTCAATTTACGCGAGTATTTGACATTTTAAGTAAAACTATCTTTTCGGAATAATTCGTGGATTTATTTTGATTTTTGGTTCCCGACGTTTCGAATGCTTTACAGCAATCATGGTCACGGGAGAGACTAAGGTTGTAGACGTCTCAAAGGTATTTTGTTTCAAGTTTTTTGTATCGCGTGCTATTCAAAGTTAAAGTTAATGTGAATGTCACAGAAGTAATGATTACATCAACTTACGGAGAGCATATTATAATACCTATACTGGTCTTTATTTGGTGGTACTTTATCTAGGAGGGATAAATCTGTATCGATTAGACCTTTAATGTTCTATGAATGTTTTTTTTACAATTTTACAGAATGATTTATACTGAAGCTGTGTTACTAGAAACATTACGTATATCAAGCGTAGCAGCAGTAGGCATTCCTCACATGGCGCTAGAAGACGCAAAGCTTGGAAATTATGTTATACCTAAGGTATTTTATTGATGATATTGCTTCCCAATACAAACTTTTATCCCCATTTTCACCCCCTTGAGGGATGATTTCCGGGATAAAAAGTATCTTATGTCCTTCCCCCGGTTCTCAAACTATCCTCTTACCAAATTTCATCTAAATCAGTTTAGTAGATCCAGAGATTACCCCCTACAACGTCACAAACTCACAAACTTTACCTCTTTATAATATTAGTGTAGATTATATATAGATTATAGAGTATGAACAGCACTGAATGAAAAATTATTAACGTTTTGTTTCAAAAATATGTAATAATCAATTAGTAAGAACTTTTTATGCGTATTTTAAAAACTTTTGAGGTTATCAGTTTTTAAATAAAGCGCCATTTCATGTATTTATACCTATAGCTAGCCAATTAAATAGAGAGATAAATTACATAAATAATCCTACTGCGTAAAATGCGAACTAAAAAGATAAAAACAAGATGACGTATACCGTTTTTGTAATTTAATTTCTTATTGAGAACTTCTTAGATTTGGCTAGTAGGAAAATTTGAGTTTTGTTTAACAATTTGTAAAAAATGTAAGTGGTAAAAAATATTCATTTTTTTTCTTTGATAAAATTTCAGGGGACAATCCTTTTGCTAGCCATGCACGATTTACAAAATGGTGAACATTGGAAGGTACCTAAGTCTTTTAGGCCTGAAAGATTTCTTACTGAGGAAGGGAATATAATACAGGACGAGTGGCTCATGCCCTTCGGAAGTGGTAAATTAGATTTATAATAAAGAAATCTGTAGAAATATTTAATTAATTTATAATGAAAAAGACTAAAAGAACCAAGAACAAATATAATGATGAATGAGTACACACACGATTCAATTTTGTTGCTAAAAATATTTTGTGGATAGGGTTTTTATTTATAGGTTAAATACTAATTAAAAATTATAAGATTAATAAATTAACTCATATTTGATTTTCAAGTAGGTAATGTTAGCGTTAGTTTTATCAACTCGCTACGAACAAAAGTATAATATTTTATTGATAATATATATACAAATACGTTATCAATAATTTTTTAGATTGTTCACCCCTTTTTATTACTATGGAATATAATTAAATAATTATGACTGAATATGATACAAAGTTCTTCCCATGTGAAAATTTGTAAAAAGCTGTGTCTAAGTAACTGGTATTTTTAATAATCCATAATATTAGAAAAAAACATTTTTATTATAAGTAGATGCAAGTAGATATATATACATATACGAGTACGTGTGTCCACAGGTAAAAGAAGATGCATTGGAGAAGGATTGGCGCGTTCGGAACTCTTTATGTTTTTGACTCATCTCTTACAAAAGTTTAACCTAAAGCTGCCAGAGGGTGATCCTCTCCCAAGTACGGATCCGATCGACGGAGTCACACTTTCTGCAAGAGACTTCAAAATTGTATTTGAACCAAGATCTTAATTACATCAAAATAGTTACTTTTATAACATAATTTAAGACACATTACAACATATTTTAAGACGAAATAAATATATTGGAATGGTTCTTATCAAATTCTTACTATCTAAAACCTTTAAAGTCATAGTGTAACAGTATTTAAATTGTAAGTAATCATATATCTACTGTGAGATAATTAGATCAACTAGAGCGTTAAGAGCTACAGTCTTGGTATATGGATTTCACTTTTGTCAAAGTCATTGGCCATCGTTCTCTTTATTTATAGTATCACATTATAATAATCCATATAGTTTGCATTTGAATTCAAAGGAAATGTTCCAAATAATTTAAATGAATACACAAATAACAAGTTTCATGGTGAAATATTTCAAAGTTAAAGCGTTTGTGCTATCTCGTGGCAAGTTAAAGTTATATACCCATCATCCCTAAAGCCGATTTCCAACTATCATTAAATGTACGTGTGATATTCGCATCTCACATCACACGCGCACTTTCGTTAGACGACTGTATGAGTTAGTATTAGTTTTCACATTATGACAATTTAAGGTTAGCTTAGCTGGATGGTTGGTAAGGCTAGTGGCAGATGACTAAGGTTTTGATGGGTTATTTTAATACATTTCAAAAGAACATCAGGTAGGTAATAGCTATTCAATACTCAAAAACAACCAATCTTTGCCTTTGCCGTTGTTCACATCAATGTCCAAAAATTTTTTTTTACAAATACAAAAAATCCCGAAGAAGTTAACAAAGCAAGTAAAGGAAGAAGAGAAGAACGAAAGAAAAAAGTATTATGCAGTTGAAGACATACATGTAGCAGGCCTCGGAGGAAGTATAAAATGTAGGTTGAACGGCGCCGAGGATGCGCGTGAAATACGTGAACAAATATTTATATCATATATGGTCAGTAAAATCTACAATTTGGTCTAATCGGAAATCAAAATCGCGACTGAGACTGCTGTCAAAGTTGCCTGTGTAACTGTTAATCTTTCTCAAGAAATAGACTGTAAAATGTAAAAAGGTTTTTTTCAAATTGGGCCCGCAGTTCCAGAGATTAGTGCAGATAAACTACGTATCTGTACGTAATATATAATAAAAAGTGGGCATAAATAAACTACGCGACCGGACCCAGAAAAGTAGTATTTTTTTTATTTTTTTGCAGTCCTTCTCCATAGAAACTAACTAAGCTACGTATAGCTCATATTTCTCCATAAGAGCAAAGTGCATAGCAAGGGGTTCAAAGGTTTCCCTTCATGTATCAATATTATATAGATTTTATCTACGTGTGGGCAACACGTCGAAACTAATATTACAAATACTGATAATTATAATTTTCATGCTTAAACCCTTAAGCAGATTCAGTAAAAGGCAGGGACATAGATTACATTTGCTATTTACTATGATTGCAAAACAACGGCAAACTGATGTAGCATCACATTTCACAGGGTAAATGATTGTACGATGTGTATTGTATAATGTGACTGTAATATCTATAAAGGAAGTTAATCTCAAAAAAAATGCTTTGTACAAATAAAAAAAAACAGTCTCTTTATAATAAGGCAGATTATGTTACTATCGTAACCGTATCGTTCCATGAGTCGACAATAAAACCTTAAACAACATGCTAAAGGTTATCTATACACATACGCACATACGGTTATATTATTTGGTACTTGGCCCTCGCAGTTTATCCAAAATTAAATATTTTTTTATAATTGTTCTTTGTTATTTTTAATTAGAATTGTTTTATGTACAATTATACATACGTATATGATACTATTTACTAGCGGCTCACCCTCGGTCCCCTCGGGTTCGTCCCTTCTTACGTTATAACATTTAGTATAGATTTCTCAGAGATGAGATATTTTCCCGCAATAAAAAGTATCCTATATGTTGACCCGAATAATCATCATACCATATTTTATTAAAATCCCTCCAGTGGTTTTTTCGTGATGCGGTAACAGACAGACAAATAGACATGAAATCTAAAAATTATAGATTCGACCTCTGTATCGATAATAATGTCTATTTCAATTTTCAATAAGATTTTCCAAAAAATATTTAATGTACAGATTAGTTACAATTTTATTATAATTGTATAGATATGTTAATATTAATATTTACATACAAAGTATTTATTACTACTTTTCTCCATATTAATATTAATCTAAATAAAAAATAATAATTTACAAAAATAAAAAAAAACCAGCTGCGTACAAAGCGAACTAAAAAGATATTTAACAATTTCTTATTCTAAATTACTTTTAAACAATTAAGTAGTACATATTTTTGTGATCGCCTCTTAAAAACCTGTATTTTGATACCCCAGTCGATTGATGCGGACGAAAAAAATTTTTCAAGAACCATTGGGTCATTAGTAACTAATATATAATTTGATGGATGAATGAGAAGAGAAGAGACATTAAAAGAAACACAGAAGACAGGCGAAGAAGAAATTCGAAGAAGACACGCCTGTTAAACTAACTGGCAGTAAATCAAACTGACAGTTAAAATTACTGATAGTTACACAAACTGACCGTTTAAAATCAAACAGTTAAAGAAACAGTTACACAAAGAAATAAATAAATATAAATATATAATATAAATGTTTGTTTGTTTTTTTAAGAGAAAAAGGGGAGGAGAGGAGAGGGGAAGACAGGCGAAGAAGATTTGCGAAAAAGAACTGCAAAAGACAGACCAAAACTCAACAACAGGCTCCTCTCTTCTCGCGCCTCTCCGTTCCGCTCCTCTCCTCTCCCTTTTCTTTTATTTTCCTGCAGTAAAAGATATCTTAAATATCCTAACCCGAGTAATAAGTTAGCAGTACACAAAATTTAGTTAAAATCGGTTCAGTACTTTTTTCGTGAAACGCGCACACCCAAACAGACATACAGAAAACAGTTTTTTTTTTCAGAATCATTGTTTTGGGGTCTGTATGACAACATACATACAATACAATATGCTACAGTCATTGTTTTGAAAAAATATTTCACGTATAAATTTCGCTTGGTTACTGTTATTATATGTATAAATATTAATTAGTTATTTATTTATTCACAAAGAATCACTTCGGTTCAAGAACAAAATCATGTTCCAAAACATTTATTCACCGTCATTATCGCGCTCACGCACTCTCCTCGCATAAACTCAGCGTCACAAAGGTACAACTTCTGAAAAACCCATCAGTGATATTAACCTCCAATATTTTTTTAAATGTAGTCCGAAGTGATATCTCTAGGGGTTTTTTTTTATTTTTTCGATATCTTATTTCATTTCGAGATATGATTTTTATCTGACCGAAACCGAGCGAAAAACGATCGCATTTTTCACATTTTTTCGATTTATAAAGAAGCCTTTGAGTGTTTTAAATATTTTTTGCATTTTGTAGCCCTCATCTTTTAACATCCCAATCAACAACGTAGTCCCAAAATCCACGACACCATGGCGATGTCGCACTTTCGCTGAAAATCGGGCCTATACTGGAGCAACAAAAAAACATTTTCAATGTTAAAAAACTTGTATTTTCTCATGTTTTTCAAATTCAAAAAACATAAAAATCGGTTCAGCCATTCTTGAGTTATAAATGATGTAACTAACCCGACTTTGTTTATGTATACCTATATAGATAGATGTTCAACAATTACTATTTTCAGCCTTTTTTTCTCAAAAATTAAAAACGATTGTATTTGTTATTTGTATATGTCATTATGCAGATTTTTTATAAGTATTTAATATTTTATTAATTTAATAGTATGGTGTAGTGGCTAGTATGTACGGCTGCACACCCGGAGGTCCTGGGTTCGAGTCCCGGGTCGGACCAAGTTTAGTTATTGAGTCTTTCTTTATAGTAAGCCTCAGTAACAGCCCGGAGTTGGGAAGTTGGCGGTGTGTCACCCCCGTGCCTCGGAGAGCACGTAAAGCCGTCGGTCCTGCGCCTTAACTCTTACCGGTCGTGCCGAGTAGTCGTCCCACCGGAGTATCAGAGTGACAGGAATAGAGAGTGCAATTTTTTAAAATAAGCAGTGTTTCCTTTGAGCAAATCTTGATAACTTTAATATTTAAAGTACTTTTCTTTCATGCCTCATCCATTTTCTCCATCCTGTATAGACTATCAACGGTGTGGAGTGAAACAGTAATTGTAGAGCGAACCAGCATAATTAAAAAGTTATTAAAACTAACAATAGAACAGGCATTAAAGTCTGTAGAGAAATTAAAGGTGCTGGACGAATTTGGGTGTTTAGTATACAAATATACAATGACCTTTTTTGTTGTTAGGAATGCATTTACGCATACCACCTGCATACATGCGGTAGGACTCAACGGCTAGAGCCTTTACTACCCACTAAAACCCAACGGAACTTTCTCCGTCTTAATGGGGCATCGCAGGATCACTTACGTATTCTACTACGACGCCGAGTGCTAGCCTGCCTTTTTTTTTTTTTTTTTTTTTTTAACGTTGGGAAATGCATTTACGCACGACGTGTGGGACTCACCGGCGTAATACAGCCAGTACTACCCACTAAAATGCTAGCCTGCCTAGGCAGACCCCAAAAACCAAGGGGATGTTCCCACAATCTACACTGTTGTCACTGAAGTAACTAGAACAATCCGCATAATCCACCGTACACCTAGATGGGTCGCCTTCCAAGTGCTATTCTTGGCTTCACGTGCGGCTGGATTGCCGGACGCAAATGAACACCATCACAACAAAGTGAACTATGACCTGGAGTAACACATCAGCTAGTTATCTATAGATGAACTCGAGCGAAGCGATGATAAGTCGCCAATAATTATAATAATATTAAAAAGTATTATTAATTCTCACGAGGCTTAAGAATATTTTTCTATTTTGAAGACAATTAAAGCGATCCATTTTTGTTTTAAACTTCAGTTTTGCTCCTCCCCACTCACAAGTCACCACACTCTCTTCAAAAGTGCTTGCTAAGTCTAATTGAATAAACTTAATTTTTATTACATTTCACCTAACATCCTTGGAGTTGTTCAGAGTTGAATTTTGAAATCCTTCTACATAATTTTGGCGTAGAGCAAGTTGCTTTTCTACATCTAGTTCTAGTTAAGCATTTTCTTTTCCCGCCACAAAAAATCCTCATGTAAAAATGTTTGGGTGCGTTTTCACTTATTAGGAGAATTTTGGTGACATTGACCTTTATATTTTAAAATTAATGTAAGTTTGTTTATCCCTTACTTAATATGAAACCCATTATTACGATTTTTGTATGCTATTTTCACATACGACTTTTTCTACAATCTGGTAACTATTTATATATGTATTTTTAACTGAAAAAGGAACTTATAGCTTATAGCCTTGGTTTATAGTGAGGAATTACCATTAGATGCGCCCTTCACTAAAAATCGATCAACCACACGCATGCGTAGCATATCTTGGGTAACATACCATACCTTTGCTGTCAAGTGAAGCCGGTTTAAATTGTTTATACAAAAGACACTCTAAAAACAAATATATAAACATAAATACTCATTATACCATATAAGTAAAACAAATATCTTTAACTCTATGTGTAATAAGTATAGATTATTTATATAAAAAGTGGTGAATTTCAACACTTCGACTTTTACATATTTACCTAGGCACAAGACAAAATTACAAATGTCAGTAAGTGTAGTATTGGCGATTAGTTCTACATTTAAATAGGTGATTTTTTTGTTATGTAAAGTGTTACTTTTAAGTAAAGTTGTAGTATATAAACTTAGAAATTGAAATCGTGTAGATTATTATGAACATAATTTCTCTTGTGAAATAAAGTAGAGATTATAACAAAAATGGAACAAAGAAATATAAAGTGAAGCATTGAAAAGTATGAATGAAACCCTAGGACGCGGGTACGCCCGCATTGAAGCTATACGAGCGGCGCGAGGAGAAGCCTTAACCATGCCGGAGCCCGGTGCTCCGCCCCCGGACAGATACAACTCTGTATACTTGACGCTGTTTGTTGCAGGAGCTGCTTTTTTACTGCCATTTAATAGGTATTGTCGCATATATTATGATATACATCGTATAATTAACCCTTTCATTATGCGTACTATAACTAATCAAGGAAACCATGGGAAAACACTAGATAGGCACTTACGACAACATGACCAATAAGTAATAACTATTGAATTAAAGGTATTTCTTGGACACTATGGACATCTACATTCGTGAATGATTTTGACAATCTATTGTTGTTATTTTAGTTTGTATGCGCATTTCTTTTAAATTTCTACTTTAACTTTTGAATTTGTGACTGAGAAATCTAAGAATTCTTAACAATTATCTTCTATATAACTATTCTCATTAATCTATTATAGGAAATAGCATGAGATTTCTAAAGAATTGTATAGCAAATTGATAATATTTTATTATATATTTCCGGGTGCTTTGTTTTTACAATTAATAATTGTTTTTGTAGTTAATTAAGGCAAATTATTATTTATGTTATAAAATGTATTTTTATTAGGCAACAAAATCTTGAAATTATGTTTGCGTGCTTATTATAATAAACATTATTGACTTAACGACTAATAGCTTTACGACTTTATATCACAAAAATAAAACTATCATCGCAATGTCATTTACCTGGTCGGTATATTAATTAAGCCTGTAAATGAAATTGGAACATTAAAACAATAAAACTCTAAAAGTGAAAACCTGTAATATATCGATCTGCACATTAAATATTAATGATATTTTTATTTTATTTTTTAATATTTTTAGTTTTTGTAAGTTTGATTATAGGGGGTAATCTCTGAAATTACTGATCCGATTCTATAAATTCTTAGAAGGTACCGAGTGCTAAAGCCTGTTTTCTATTTCGATAAAAATGTGTTTACTGCGACAAATTGTAAAAACTTTAATTAAAATCGTAAAAGAAATTGCAGCTTCTTTCTTAATTTGTCGGACAATTTTTCCAAACTTATATCCCTAAAAACTATTTTTGGATTATTTCAAACATTAAAAAAATGGTCAAATCCATCCAGCCAGTCCAGTACGCTTAACAACGAATAGAATTACATTTTTATTGTGACCTTAGGAGACAGACATACGATATGCTTTTGCGGACTTTTCTGTATTTTTCTGTAGACATATAATATGCTTTTGCGGACTTTTCTGTATTTTTAAGACCTACAACTTTCTAGGGCATTGTTTTGATGTGTCTATTAAGGTTTAGCCTGCGTTAGTCGTATCGTACGAAAACATTGCCTTTAATATTGCACCGTCATAATTCAGCTATTTTGAACAAAATATGTATTTACAAATGATATACACAAACCTTCCTCGTTTATTGATCTATAGTAAAAACCGTATCAAAATCGGTTGTATGGTTCTAAACCACAAGTTTTATGAACGAATACTAGGCTAAGCCTTTTATTGTGCTTTCCCGTGGGAGTGAAAGATTTCCCTGTAATAGAAGTTATACTAAATGTTGACCTGAGTATTATGTTACCGCTACACAAAAATCAATTAAAATGTGTTCAGTACTTTTTGCATGTAAAGCAGACAAAAATTCCAACAACTATGGTTTTGGGGTCTATATCATTCTGTACACAATACGTAACCGTCATTGTTTTTAAAAAATACATTTCAGGTACAGATTTCGCTTTTTTACTATTTTATTATATGTATGGATTATATGGAATAAGTGAAAGAGTAAAGATCTTATGTAATATATGTAATGTAATGTCATAGCATGAAGTTGTATGTAAATTCATATTTTACAAATTCACTATTTTTATTCGCTGTCTTATGTAGGCTCGTTTTCATAGTATTCTACGGTCAACGTCCTTGGAGGCCAAGAGACTTGGCAAATTCAAATTCAAAATTGTTTATTCAAATATTTATTGATATTTTAAAAGTAACAGTTGTTCGAAAAAGGTTAAATCTGGGAGAACTACCAAAAGAAATTCACCAAATATAAACCAAAATAAAATTAACTTTATTTTTTTACTTTTAAATAAAATTATAATCCTGATTTTTTCAAGGCAGAGACTCTCTTATGATGATTTGATGTAAAGTATTTGAAATGTCGGGAATCAAAAACCAAAAGATTCCGCAAAAATATAGCTTTATTTAAAATGTCAAATATTCGCGTAAATCTGAAAAAAATTATGATATTTTTACTATTAATCATTGTTATTATTATTTAACATACCTATTTGATGAAAAACATTAATCATATTACCGTCGTGTAACTGCTCCACTATACTATTTTCATGTAGTTTTGAAAACTACATAATTTTCATTTACAGTTTCATAATGGCCGTGGACTACTTCCAACATCACTATCCGAAATCTGCGATCATGTTCGACATGTCGACGGTGTATATCGTATCGGCATGCGTCGCTGTCATTACTAACAACCTACTTCTTGACCTATTTACTTACAATACCAGGATAACTTTTGGTTTGTATATACTTATGTGCCAATTTTGTTCCTTGTAGTTATACTTTATCATATATTTTGCTTTTATTTTCATTATACGTCTAACAAGACGCTCTGTTCGAGTTCGAGACCACCCTATTACTAAGCCTACACTTACAGCACCTGCCCGTCCTTAAACCGTAATAAATAGCCCGTTAAATTTTATACAGAATTTTAGTTACTATTGTAGATGTTTTAAAAAAAAGTAAATATTAAGCACATTTAGAACTTGCCTATTTAATTCATCGTATAAAGTTACACAGGTATAAACCAACTTGATGTTTGTATTATTCACGCTTTAAGTTTAACGGTATCATATAACCGTTAAACTATAAGATCCAATTATAATTATTGGTAATACCTATTATAAAAAAAGATTTAAAAAGGTAGATATACAAATTTTAGTAGGTATACACTTTATGTTGCGAGTAGATTTTTCACAAAAATATACAAAATTTTATGAAATGTATGTATATTCATATTGATATAACATTTGTAACTTCTTTCCATTCCTTTTCAAAAATCATAGCAAATTTACATTTATGCAACACTTTCGATTAATAAAAGCAACTTAAATGTATCAATCAGGTATACACATTAAAAACTCAGAAATATAATTTGAAAAATCTTTCATGACAGGAATACTACTTTCTCTGGCAACGATGCTCTTCGTGGCGTTGTGCAACATCGGCTGGGACGGCTTCTCCTTAAGTGTATCATATACAATCAACTTAGTCGCTATAGGGGTCGTTGCTTTTGGGTGTACTGTGCAGCAAGCCTCGTATTACGGCTTCACTGGATGCCTTCCACCTCGATACACACAAGCTGTAATGGCGGGAGAAAGTTAGTACTTTAGTATTTAAAATTAAATATTAGTTTTTGTTAGTTCTCCCTTCAATCAGGTGCGTCCCTAGGTGTCTGTTTGATATATGTACATTTTATTGCTTTATCAAAAGACTTATTCAAAAAGGAGGAGGTTCTCAATTCGGCTGTATTTTTTTTCAAGCCGTTTAGGCGGCACACGCCAATAAAGCAATACACAATTTTATCAAATTAAAAAATAGCCTGCGGCACTAGGCGGTGATGTAGCTTTCTCTAAAGTTTGCATGTTATAAACTTACAAACTTTACTTCTTTATAAAATTAAAATAGATTACTAATATATCCTATTATCCTACAGCACCTGAGTTAAAACCTGAGGTTTGCTAAGTGAATATTATAGAGGTTCAAATTCAAAAATTAGCCATTAAACCTGATAAATCTTAAGATTTGCCATAGTTGGTTGTTTAAAAGTATGTACATATATACTTATCAGACTTCTATATTTTTCATAAGTACATACTTCAAAATTTTGTAAAGGTGTACAGTTAAAGTAAATAGTAAAGTATAAGAAATAAATGCTATAGGTAATCGTAATTGGAATTTATTCTATTTTTCAAGGAACACGAATATAAGTGTAATGATAATGTGTAATAATATTATTTGATTACATGCAATCTATATCTATCTCTATATAAATAAATGTAAAGCGCTGTTTGTTAGTATGCGCCTAATTTGAGGACGACTGGACCAATTTAACTAACTTTTTTTTTCAATATTCATATAGTACGAATATAGTTTTTAGAAAATGCAAATCGGCAATTTTCCCCAAAAATTGGGAAAATCAGGGAAAACAGTAAGAATTAATTTTCACGAGCGATTGTCGGGTCAGCTAGTATTAAATATATTTTAATGATTTAAGGAATTACTTCATACGGTTAGAGTCTTTTTAAATATGATTTTCTGCCTCTACTATATTATAATTATTATTACAATATTATAAACTAATTGCTCTCCAATCTTTTCCAGGCGCGGCTGGTTTCTGGGTGTCCATAGATAGAATAGTTACTAAATATGGATTCAGTCAGCCAAAACGCAGTACATTTATGTTTTTCGTGTTTTCCATTCTGATATTGCTTGGGCACTCTATGTTGCACCATGTGATGATGCGGCATCCTCTCGTACAACATTACTTACGTCTAACTAATGAATCTCGACATCGACGACGTATACAGCTCCATTTGAATCCGACTGAAGATGCTACTCTGGTAAATATATACTGAGTTAAAATTAACTAAACTCTTATGATATTCTATTCCATATCTATGACCATGCACTGCCTTTAGGGCCGAAGAATACTTCTTTCGTTTGTATTTTTATTTCTCACCAAGTGTTGTAATTTTATTGTTCACAAATATTATCAGAATATTAGTTTGAACCAAAAGCTAAGTCGTTTAGCTAATGTGTGATGTTTTTAATCTCAATTATTTATATTTTTTAGATGGAGAGCGAGGCCGGTGAAGCTAGTTACGGTGTACTGAAGCTTCAAAGTCCAGCACCATCTACAGGAGTAGGTAAGCATTAAGCATATAATTATTAACAGTGCGACAATACAGTAAAACAAAGGACAAAAGCAGACAGTCAGAACTCAGAAAGCTTTAAAGTGAACAGCCAATTGTGATTCTATTTTATATATTTTGACGATATTATTTTATGTCGTTTTTTATTTCATAACTTTTTATGAATAATAATTATTTTAAGGTGAAGCAGAGAATACCTTTAGTTTCGCAAACCCTGTCTACTCACCCACGGCTCCTGCACCTGTGCCTCTAGTGTCACCCCCAAGCGTATCCGAGCAATCTACTTCACCATTGGCAACTCTAAGAACACCAAGGCCCTCTTACAAAGTGGAAGATGTGGTTTTCGAGGCGCCTGAAAGACCAACGTCTTGGAGGAACTTCAAACGTATGTTTAGAATATTATAGAATTAATGATAAATATTACCTATCAACGTATACATAGGTAATAGTAAGGTTTCGCATCTGTAGGATTAAAAACCTTTCAGGATTCGAATCCACTACCTTCGGTACTGAAGGCAACGGTAATCTATGCGTAATCGATATTGAGATTTTATTCGTTGGCGTGCATTCGTACGAATGTACAACATCACTGACGTTCATGCAATTATATAAGTGTGCTTCAACAGTTAGACCAGAGTCGATAATTTTTGAAACCAAAAAAAATAATAGTAGGATGCAACCCATTAGAAAAGGAGGGGAATATTATAAAAATTAAAGGAAAAATAATTTACGGGCGATCTGAAGTCAGAAGGGGGTGGAGGGGGGTTTTTAAGGGTAAAAAACGGTTTGTCTCGATTTCCGGCAAAACTAAAAGTCCTATCGAAAAAAATCAAATGGCAAAGTTGTAGGTAATAAAAAGATCTAAAACTTTTGTATTTACACTTTTTTCACATAACCTCAAAATTTATGTGAAAAATTCAAAAACCAACTTTTTGGATTTTTATTTTTATTTTTCACAATTTTTTTTTAACGAAATTTGGTGAAAACTTGCCTTTTTATGTCCCAAATACGCTGTAATTTATTTGATTAAAAATATTTATTTTTTCACCTTATTTTGAATTAATATCGAAAAAGCACCCTCATTTTCAATCGAAAATCACCCGTCAAAATATCAGTTTTTTTAAAAAAGTTGGTATGTTTTCTGTTCGTTGAAATCTCTACTTTCCGATGGTGAAAAAAAATATATATGTTACTATAGTAAATCTTCTGAGAAAATGCAAAAAACAAAAAACCTTTTTTATTTCATACACTTGCTTATCATCTGCCTTATTGCAGATGATACAAACAGATTCATCCATACTGATAATCTGAAAAGACAAAATCGAATTAATAATGCCTTCACTATTTTATCGTGAGTATACCCCCATTAAAAAAAAAAGAAAGAAAGAAATGTCAAAATGTATAAAAAATATATTATAAATATATTAAAAATCTATACTATACATATTTTTTATGTATAAATATATAAAAAATATGTATAGTATAGATTTTTAATATATTTATAATATATTTTTTATACATTTTGACATTTATTTCTTTAATATTTTTTTTCATGGGGGTATACTCACGATAAAATAGTGAAGGCATTATTAATTCTATTTTGTCTTTTCAGATTATCAGTATGGATGAATCTGTTTGTATCATCTGCAATAAGGCAGATGATAAGCAAGTGTATGAAATAAAAAAGGTTTTTTGTTTTTTGCATTTTCTCAGAAGATTTACTATAGTAACATATATATTTTTTTCACCATCGGAAAGTAGAGATTTCAACGAACAGAAAACATACCAACTTTTTGAAAAAAGCTGATATTTTGACGGGTGAATTTTCGATTGATTCTTTTTCGATATTAATTCAAAATAAGGTGAAAAAATAAATATTTTTAATCAAATAAATTACAGCGTATTTGGGACATAATAAGGCAAGTTTTCACCAAATTTCGTTAAAAAAAATTGTGAAAGATAAAAATAAAAAACCAAACAGTTGGTTTTTTGAATTTTTCACATAAATTTTGAGGTTATGTGAAAAAAGTGTAAATACATAAGTTTTAGATCTTTTTATTACCTACAACTTTGCCATTCGATTTTTTTCGATAGGACTTTTAGTTTCGCCGGAAATCGAGAAAAACCGTTTTTTACCCTTAACCCCACCCCCTTCCCGACCTCAGATCGCCCGTAAATTATTTTTCCTTTCATTTTTATAATATTCCCCTCCTTTTCTAATGGGTTGCATCCTACTATTTTTTTTTCACTTTTTATTATTTTTAAAGGCTTCTACCCTTTTTTTTTTTTTAACGTTGGGAAATGCATTTACGCACGACGTGTGGGACTCACCGGCGTAATACAGCCAGTACTACCCACTAAAACCCAACAAAACCTTCCCCCGTCTTAATGGGGCGTCGCAGGATCGCTTACGCATTCAACTACGACGCCCCGACGGCAGGTCTGCCAAAGCAGACCACCACAACCATGGGGTTGCTCCAAGGTCCACTCTGCTATCAGAGAAGTACCAGGAGCAACCCGCAAGGTACACCGCCCCCCGAAGAGGGCCACCTCCCACCGCCCACCGAAGTGGGCAACCTCCCTGTGCGTTTCTTAGCTTCGTACTACTACTACTGAGCCCCCCCACCACGACAAGGTGAACGCACGTTGGGGGGGAAAGGCTTCTACCCTGGTCTAAGTGTTAAAATAGTCAGAATACAGTACAGAAATCACAAATGATTTCATATTTAGTAACTATTTTATGTATGGAAACTCTGAAACCAGGATATATAAAATGCATGAAACAATTTTGGTACTAGTCAAATTCTTCTAGCGTATCAAAATTCGTTCTACACATATTAAACTTGTTGTCAGTTTTCACACATGCAATTTTATATATCCCATAAATATTATAAATGCGAAAGTTTTGTATGGATGGATACTTGTTATTCAGTCTCGATTCAAAAAGGTTGAACGGATCTGCATGAAAGGCACAGAGATAGATTATAATCTGGAATAGCACATATTTTACTTTTTATCCCTGAAAAATGTACGGTTCCCGTGGGATGTCCGTACTAACCGTTAAAAAATACCTAGGAACGAACCCGACCGAAGCGAGAATGAGTCACTAGTCGATTATAAAGTAACTATTAAATAATATGCGATGTTAGTTAATATTATTAGTCAGAATCATTCATTTTTCAAACAGGTGGTGTCCTGGCACGATGGGCTGTAGCTCGCGCTATTTATCCTTATATGGTCTCCATAGGACTGGTTTACTTTACTACACTTAGCTTGTACCCAGGAATTGCGTCTGAAGTGCCATCATGCCGATTAGGATCATGGATGCCTATTATACTAATGTCATCGTTCAATCTGTTCGATTTTATTGGAAAAGTAAGTTATTTTAGCGTATTAGCAAAGTATAAAAACACTAGTACCTACCTTGGTAAAAATAGGGTATAGACTATAGCTATTGATTTCAAATTAAATGCCGACTACTTCTTGGGATAAACATAGGAGTCTAGGATAATAGAAAGGGGATAAAAGAAACTAACCACCGGTCATTTGAACCAAAATTCCTATTTAGTTTTATATGACTTAAACTTGTTTAACAAAAGTCGATTAGTACAATTTGGAGTTTGCTAAACATAGTATTTATGAAATTTAATTCAAATTCTTAGCTTTTAAATAAGTAACAGTCGTTTTTTTTTAATTATTACTCTTTAAATGTAGAGCCTTAAAGCACTTCTATTTATTGTATTAATGCATATTTCAAATTTATCTTTTTATCTATGCTAATATTTTAAATAGGCAGAGTTTGTTTGTTTAGTTGAACGCGCTAATGTCAGGAATCGGATTTGAAAAGATTTCTTTGCATTAGATTGAGGAAGTCTATATATCATCCTGCTACTACCGAAGGTAGCGGAGTAATAATCATAAATGTCAACAAATCGGGCAGACTTACATACATTATTACTAATAGCATAAGATCAAAGATTTTTTTTTGAAGTTTTAGCGTGAGCGATGCCACGGATGCTAGTATTTAATATATTCACCACTTTTGCCAAAACATCAGACCTACAGGACTTTTATTGGAAATTTTCTCCTTTTCAAGGATCTTTTTTTTAAATTTATTATTATTAATTTTTGAATCATTCGCGAACAACTTAATACCTTCTTTTTTCATCTTTGTTTGTTTATAACTTTTGCAATTTTTTACATGCTGAAAAAGGGTTTACCATTCTTCGTAACATCATTCCGCATCCAATGAGATACCTATCATATTTTTAAGAGCTTTATCTCTAATTTTCACCATTTTCAACTTGTGATCTAGACGATAAGGTACCTTACAATTAACTTACTAGATTCATTAATATAACTACTTAAGCTATATTAATAAATCTATTAAGTCAGGATCTTCAACAATATGAAACACTAATTCGATTAAGTTGTTTCAGACAGCATGCATCACAGCTTCATTCTTGAGAAAATAATGAAACTGTGACTAATAAATTATAATTATTAACGTATAAATAAATTAATTTAACTAATTACTAGATAACAGCGGCCTGGCCATACGAGTGGAGTCGCAGTCAACTGTTGATGGCTAGTGGCCTCCGTCTGCTGTTGGTTCCTCTTTTACTGCTGTGCGCGGCTCCGAGGCATTCACCACATATAGTTGGCGATGTAAGTTAATAGGACTATACATACATATATCGAACTACTACTATACATACGGAAGTTTATGTTATGGATGATTGTGTATATGTCGTTACTCCTTCACGCTGAAACTTTATATGGTATTTAGGGGCGCACCCAAACGAAGCAACTGTGAGCTAGTAAGATATACATATTATTTAAAACCACCACCAATCAATTATCTGGACTTCGATTGGCACCAGAGTATATGATAGAAATTCTTACTATCATTCATTTTAATAGTACCTATACATATATAATAGTTTCTTGGTCCGTCCTTTTTACGCGCAAAAATCATCGGATCGATCGTATTTTTATTAGACTCACAGTTATTAAATGGCATTTTTCTTCATTATCTTAGGCATTATAATTTTATTTTTGTATACGTATATTTATAATATGTATGTATTTAAAGTTATATTACGTGTAGTGTATCAACTATGATATACTATAACTGTGATAGTTCCCAGCACGCTCAACAACTTCGCTCCCGCAATGAAAGGTTACTCGAAATCCCACTAAGCCATTCCAAATCTTATGGTGAGTCTTTCACCATTAAAACTGTAAGACTCTGGAATGAGCTTCCAATTGAAATAAGAATGTCGAAGTCGGTGAGCATATTTAAAAAACGTCTCAAAAGACACTATCTATCACAGTAGGGTTATTCTGTCATTAGTGCCGTACTATGTAATTTGTTTATGCATATATATTCATATATAGACATTATTTTATTATTATGTATATGTATGTTATGTATATATAGTAAAAATATATATGGTAAAACTAATATTTTATATATATAAATTTTTATGTATGTTTATTTATATTAAGTTTTAATGATTTGCACTTAATGCACCTTTCCGCTCACTTATTTTATTATATCCTTTACTATCGGTTGCCTGTAAGAGATCACTTTTAGTGATAAGGCCGCCTTTGCACATCTCTTTAATTGTACAATTATTATTTTTTTATGTTAATGTACTATTTTCTTGTGCAATAAAGTGTTATAAAAAAAACTATCCGGTATCCATAATACAAGCCTCGTAGCTTACCATGGAACTAGAGAACTAGATGGCGCTGTGTGTTAATGTCCTGATATATTTATTTATTTATTAGGGTCAAAGGGCCAAAAATCGAGATCCGTATAATTTCAATAGCTGGAGTCTTAATAAGTGGAAGAATTATACACCATTGAGTAAGAGAATAATAACAAAAATATTACCTATATAATTTTAGCACCTTTTTTTTTAACGTTGGGAAATGCATTTACGCACGACGTGTGGGACTCACCGGCTTAATACAGCCAGTACTACCCACTAAAACCCAACAAAACCTTCCCCCGTCATAATGGGGCGTCGCAGGATCGCTTACGCATTCAACTACGACGCCCCGACGGCAGGTCTGCCAAAGCAGACCACCACAACCATGGGGTTGCTCCAAGGTCCACTCTGCTATCAGAGAAGTACCAGGAGCAACCCGCAAGGTACACCGCCCCCCGAAGAGGGCCACCTCCCACCGCCCACCGAAGTGGGCAACCTCCCTGTTCGTTTCTTAGCTTCGCTACTACTACTGAGCCCCCTCACCACGACAAGGTGAACGCACGTTGGGGGGGATATAATTTTAGCACCTAGCCTATTTGCAAAAAAACATTTATTCAAATGAAAATTATGTGCTACACAAATATAATATCAAAGATAATAATTAAATTACCAATATTTTTTAAACATTTCCAGAAATTAAAAAAAAGTCGTTGTTATAGTCAGAAAGGCGCGTCATTGGAATAGCTTGAAAATAACAACAATCGTATAGTCGAGATTTAGTCTGAATATTTCTTAAAATCTAAATAACTTTCGAGCTACTAATAATAATCGTTGAACATTCACGGATCCTCTACCACTGGGGAGATCCTCTACCCTATGTATAATCCTGTTATGTCATGTTATGGCCTATAAAGATATGTACATGTCTAATGAAAGTAGCACTATAACTCTATTTTTATTGTAATTAATGTGTTTAATTATAAGAAAACCCGATTATTATTACAGGTTTATCCCATCATGTTTTCTGTAGTTTTGGGCTTTACAAATGGACTATTCGGCTCAGTACCTATGATTATGGCTCCATCGCGTGTTGGAAGGGAACATCGGGAAATTGCAGGTAATTTCACATTAAAATCCATTTTAGAAAAGGTACTTCATAATCAAATTAGCATGCCTTCATCTGTGTAAAATGAAAAGAATATTTATATGCACACACCAAATAAACAAAAAATCGTATTTTGATATCTACTTCATACAACACATATTCTTACATACATTTTTACAGAGCATAAAAACCGAGTGCCTTATTTTTTTATGTAAAAATTATATATAGTATTATATCTTTCAGGGAATATGATGACATTATCCTACAACGGAGGGCTGCTCTCAGGGTCTCTCGTATCCTACCTTTTACTTGGCATGCTCGGGCCTCCCGCCGAGACCTGCCGCGTCTACCCCACGCCGGTGCTACCAACAATACCACCAATCCCACCGAACTCTGGCAATGGCACATTTGTTTCGACAGCTGTACATTAAAGTATACCGCTTGAATTGCTAATATCAGTGTTTACTGTTTACCCATAAAAATATCACTAAGAAAATATTAATGGAATTTTACTAATTAATAATCTTAAAATCTTTAAATAGACAAAAACTGTTTATGTAGTAAATACTTTTTATTTCTTTATTTTTTTATTTGCATTTTGTTTATATTATTGCGATTAATCAAATTGCGTATCGTCATAGAGTCGTAGCTCTCAGTAAAACTAGGAAATAGTATTAAAATATATATTTTTTTATTTTAACTTAGCGCACAAATACAAAAAATTAAGTTTTTATCAATGGTATATTTAATCTTAAAACAATTCGCTTCAGGCGAAACTAAGATCATTTTATTGTTTATAACTTAATTTGTTGCAAAAATAATCGCCAAATCGAATCAAACCCAAGTATCATTGTAAGACGTACGTTCATACTAAATCGCATGCAGTATTACATACGTAATTATTTAGAAAATTGTAAACGTTATACTTTTTGAATGTAGAGACAATTTACTCGCGAGGAAGATGCAGTTAGATTTGTCTTTAGAGCAACTTTCAAGGTAACCTTTCATAACTGTCTTTAATGTAATTTACGTTTATTATATGAACCTTTATCGGGGGGCACGGAGTGCCCCCGCCAAGTCGAGCAAAAAAGGGCACGACAGTACCATCCTTTTCTCGAAGCGATTCAGAGCATTTTCCACCCCCCCATAACTTCGTTATGGATTAAGCTAGAAGCCTGAATTTTCAGTGATTAAAAGAACATAATAAAACTAGGCATATTTCCAAATTACATTCAATTTGAACATGTAGTTTAAGAACTGCTGCAGATCAAAATTCGTTAATATCGTCACTCACACACTCACTCACTCACCGATCATCAAAATTCTAAGGTACTTCTAGCAGACATAGGAGCTTCAAATTTTTAACACAATTAGTGTTTAGGCTATAACGCAAGGAAAAACTCAAACATCATGCAATTTCAATCCTGTTTTCGAGATATACAAACTGCATAAGTAACTTTGTAATCCTATACAAATAGATATGCGATATATGGGATTACAAAGTTATTTTTGCAGTTCATACATATCATTTTTCGTCACTTAAACTACCCAAATGGATAGCTGGGTAAATAGTGGATATACTGTAAGTGTTAGTGATGACTAAAATGTAATTATCAATATTGTATATAGTTTTAAGAAATAATATGTTTAATATATAAATTAAAACATATATTGTAATAAAATTTATAATTAATAGTAAATTAATTAATTATACAATAGTTGCACTGTAAAAGGTGGTTAGGTTAGTGTTTGTAAACCTTTAAACCTATACGTATGTATGTTTGTATGTCCGATCCTATGTTCCCTCGTAATTACTAACCTAATTTCGATTCGTCTATTTATTAATGTTTATATATATATATATATATATATATATATATATATATATATATATATATATATATATAGTTGCAAACTATATGTATTAGAAAAGTATGTTTTAAATGCGAAAATAATATTTTAAGCTTTTTTAGTAGCTGTATAATTTTTATGCATATACAAATGGGTACATAAATGTAATGTGAAGCGAGTATAGTTTCTACCTACTAATATTCGATTACTGTTATTTATAATGAATTGATTAAAATATATACCTAATTAAGAAACAACTTGACGATTACTTAATTTTGAAACAAAGCTCGTACATTTTCTTTTACAAAGTATGATGTTGATATGAATTAGAAAACTTGTAAACGTAAATTTCATTAGAATATATGAATGGAATGAAAAAAATAAAAATAAGATATCGGATATTGAAAAAATAATATTTAATTTCACTAATGGAAGGAAAAAATAGTGTAAATTTAATTATTTAAATTAAATATTATTATTATTATTTTAAAAAAAAAATTACCTCAATTATATATTCTAATGAAATTTACGTTGACAAGTTTTCTAATTCATATTATATCGTGTATTCATTTATCGTATTGCCCCGAGGTGATAAGACACAGAGCGATTCTCGCTACGGAATCACCCGAGTCTTCGATTATACATATAATATTTTTTTATATTTGAGATCTTGTAGCAACTGAGAGCGGCTTTCGCTACGGTATTGCTCCGAGGTAAAAGAAAAATATATAGAAAATTTTATAACAATTTTATTGTGACTAATATTTAAAATCTGAAGCTGGGATAAGTGGTATAAATAAATAAATTAAATATAATAAATTGTAGGGATCCTTCATATTTACCGTAAAATGAATGTTGCTATGGAATCTGAAATACTGTACATAAATGACGATCCTTGTCCACACCAGGTTATCCCTATACCTGGAGATGGTTCATGTTTGTTTCATTCTTTATCATTCTCTATTTATGGGAATATTGAGTCGTCGTATGACATCAGGCGTGCTATAGTCGAGCATGTGGTAGCGCATTGGAATGAGATGCAACTTTATACTTGTGACGAGCATGGAGACCCATACATTAACGCTGATCTCTACTCGACGGAAATGCTGAAAAGTACTACCTACGGTTCTTTATGCGAACTTAAAGTGGCCGCTGCTTTATATCCATTTACTTTCGAGGTCTATGAAAATGGCCGTTTGAGAGGATTATTCGGTGGTGATCCTGGGAAACCAGTGAAACGTTTACGATTCTCTGGTAGTTTCTTAGGAGGTCATTACGAAGTGCTCCTTCCTTATTCTACGTCCTCTGGACTATCTTTTAATAATCTATTAAACAAACATACTGAACACTTACCTAAAAAGGGAGGAAGACCTAAAAAGGTTAATAGAGGAAGACCTAAAACTTCGAAGCTATCCCGTTCTCAACAAATCATTGAAGCAGCTGCTCGTTATCGCCAAAACACTCCTGAAAAACGCAAAAAGACATTGGCACGTTACAGTTCCTCACATCCGGAGGTTAACAGAGCATCTGTAGTGCGTTACACTGCTTCTCATCTGGAAGTTAACCGAGCATCTGTAGAGCGATACACTGCTTCCCATCCGGAAGTTAACCGAGCAGCAGTAGCACGTTACACTGCTACTCATCCGGAAGTTAACCGAGCAGCAGTAGCACGTTACACTGCTACTCATCCGGAAAAACGTCGAGAAGTTGCCGCACGTTACAAAGATTTGCATCCTGACGTTAATCTCGAATCTGTCCGAAGGAAAAGATTAAACGAAAAATTACAATTTCGACTAAAAAATTTGGAAAAATTTACTCAAGCACTAACAGATAAAATTCAGGACAGATTAGAAGCAGAAAAACTAATTAAATGGGTAGTTCACAGTAGACAGCAGGCTCTAGTTAACTTTAGTAAAACTATTGATAGATTAAAAGATAAATTTAAAATATCGTTAGAAAAATTGAACGCATGCCCTCCAGATAGTATTTTACATGACAAGTTAGAAGCTTTTCTGGGAAAATCGGAGCATAGAAATAACCAAGAGCCATATTACGCACAAGAAGCATACAAAGTGTTTGAAACTAAAGATAAAGCTATCGCAATTGACAACACAGGAAAAGCAGTCTTTGGGAATGTCAAAAAACATGGCAAAGGTCTAGTTTGGTCTTGTAATGATCTATGCACACTAGATGAGAACGTCATTGTACAACTAAGGACAATTTTCGAAAACTTAGCAAACAAAACTGCCGTCCAATATTATGCATTAATTGAACAAGAAAAACTAATAGAATTTTTAATTAATATCAATACTTTTAAACCGCATTTTCCTCGCTTACGAACCATTTCAAGAGAAATGTATCAAATACAGAGCATTAGTAATCTTTTAAAAGATATTGATGCATCATTAGAAAAATCTGACGTAGAAAAAATTAAAAAATATGGAAAACAACAAAATATTGGCAGCATTGCTATGGAAAATGAAGAGTCACATGAAATCTTAGAAGATGAGGTCATAGATAAACATAAGGCCGCGTTCAAATCTTTAAAATTAAAGTGTCTTGATACTCCAAAAACCGAGTGCATGTCATGTATGAAACTTTGCTATTCAAGACATCTTTCAGCTCTGAATAGATTAAGAAAACCTATAGACGCTAGTGTTTGGAAAAATCTTCTAAATTTTTACAAAACAAATAATTTAGATCACAGCCCATACATTTGTCATTCATGCTTAGAAAAAATTAGAGTAAACCAACTGCCATCAACCTGTATTCTTAATGATCTATACATTAGTGCTATTCCACCACAGATAAATGAGCTAAATGATTATGAAAAGATATTAATTCAACGCGCCAAAGCATTTCAGGTGATAATGTTAATGAATCCCGTCGCAAACAAATATTTACCTAATAAGAATATGGTGAAAAAAGTAAAAGGCAGAACTTTCCACCTTCCGTTACCGCTTGAAGAAACAATGAAAAAGCTCCCTAAACCAGAACACCCGATCACTAATCCTGAACTATATATCATGGTACGAGGTACGCCGACAAAATCAAAAATAGTGTGGGAAGACATTGTAGATGTCAACAAGGTTTACCAAGCGTTACAATACCTAAAAGGTGTAAATGCTCTTTACTCACAAATACAACTTCCACATTCACCTCAACAATTAATTAGCTATATTAATGAAGAAGACAATTTGCATCATATTATAGATCGATCAGAATTTCAAGTAGATAACAATATTGTAGAAGAAGGAAACGGTGCTATACTAACCCAAGTTACCTCACAAAAAAAAATTGACTATGAACAATACACAATTTACCCTTTGCACGAAAGAAGAAGAAACGCTCCCATTTCAGAACTCTATCAAATGCTTAAAGTCAATGCTGCTCCAATTGATTCCAGAGATAAAGATTTAGATGTAAAATGCTTCCCTGATCTTTATGTAGAAGGTAAATATGGTCAGTTTCATGTTCGGCAACAAAAGTTGACGTCTAGTGAATTTATTAAAGCTAGATTAATGTCAAAGCACTCTCAGTTTCGTCTAAATCAACAATACCTCTTCTTTTTACTAAA